CAACGGCATAGACAGTTCTCTTATAGCCTTAAAAACATTTGGGCGTGATAGCAGGGACACTAAGGGACTTCTTCAGGTTTTTTCAATCTCCCGGCCAAACAAAGAGCTGTGACAGGGTCCCGCAGCTAAGCAATTCGATGAGGGTGCGTCTGTCCGCTTCTTACCACGTGCAGTGCGCTGTCAGCAAATGGGCTTGAGCTGAGTTACTGATATTCCATAGGCTATTGCCATCCGGGAGGCGAAACGGAACCACCAAGCCTATCGTCCGCACGGGCTTACGGCGTTGGGTGGGGTGGCCCAAAGCACGACGAGACCTTAATCTGATGCCCCGAAGCGTCGAGTATTGTGTGTCGGGTGCTGGAGGATGTTGGAGAGGACGGAGATATGATGGATGTTGATGCTGGTAATGGTCGAAATGCTAAGTGAGTCTACTGCGTCTGTGTCTGTGTCTTTTTCTTGCTAATGCTCTGTTTAGGCAAAATGTGGAAGATACACTGGCGGCTTGTGTTGAATGCCTCCTACAATGCCTCAACCCGTCGCTAAGCATCTCCGCGCAGGGTACGTATTTACGTCGTTACTCTTTCACCACATATATTGATAAGATACTGACGGAGTCCAGTGGTGAATGACTATCTCGCCGAAATCACCCCCCTTCTCAACAAGGCGCTGAGTCACGGCGGGCGCAAGGTGCAGGTTACGCTGTACGAGCAACTGCAGCAAGTGTTCCGGGGCCTCGAAACGTGGGCTCCACACCGGGGCAGCGAGGAACCCGATCTACGTGAGCTGCAAGGGCCCTTGTCGGCGCTAGCGGGGGAGATGTTTGCGCGTGAGATTGATGTGTCGGCCGAAGCGATCCGCAAAGGGCGAGCTGAGGCCGCCGTGGGGTACATCTCACTGTGCCAGGGGCATGGGATGGAGGTGTACGGGGGGCTGCGGGAGGAGATGCAGAGGTGGAGGGCGGGCGAGCGGTCTGGTCCGTTGCAGAGTCTTCTTGACCGGGGGATGGAGAAGCTTGCTTAGAATCGAATGATAAGACCTGATGGATACATGTGTACCTAGTTGCAGAAGAAGAAGAAGTGAGGCTGGGTTGGTTGGGTAGGGAATTCTCTGTTCGCTTAACAGGGTCCGAGTCTAGAACGGCAGTCCGGAGTAGATAGATTTACGATCGGAGTGCAGATATGTAATTAATTAGGATCGGATGGAGGGACGGTGGATCGGGTGACCTGCAGGACCCTGTCTAACTACTAGTTAAGTAGGTAGCCTTATAGATCTGTACTCCAGAGCAAGTCTGGGACGATAGGGAAATCACCGGAAACATGATCCCTGCGCATAGTAGTCGAATACGGGATGATCTGTCTACTCCGTAGTCTGTACGAAAGGATCAGCTGATGCTGAGGCTCTCTGCTGGATCAGTCGGTGTTGAGATGATTAGGGTCGGCCGGGAGGATCCGAAGCAGAACGGATAAGCGAGTTACCAGTAAACTCCCTCGTGATAGGGACCAACTGGTAGTTGGTTAACTAGTTAGTGAGTTAGGATAGTTAGTCTATCGTAGTTAGCACTGGAGATAGACCAATAGCTGGATGGGCAGTGAGACATGGCGGGTGTTGGGCGTCTGCGGAGGAGGATCCAGACCGGTCCAGGCGAGTCTCGCGATGGGAGGCTAATTTAGATGCAGTCAACGCCCGGACTTGCGGTCCGTCCACAGAGGGGATTATGTCGGGTCCGAGAGTGAGCAGAATAAGATTAAGCATTTAGGTAGAAGAAAGGGACAAAAAGAGGGTTCGGAGTTGCCGACACTATATATAGGTGGTGAGTAGATTCTGCAGTGTCATGCACACAATAATAATAATAATAACAGCCTAGTTATAGGACCCTACTCCGAACTATCTGGGTTAGTACCGAGGATGCCACATCTACCGTAGACCGACCAACTACTACTTACTACTTAGTCCTTAGCACCTAGTAGTATTAGCCTACCACAACTAGTACTATACAGAACTGCTATACCACTACTAGACACTGGGAGGCAAATTCGCTCTCCAATCACATCACATAGCTCGCTCATTCAACGCTACGACCGAATCATCCTTACATGACTGCGCCTCGCGTAGGTTATTCCACATGGTTGGCATGTAGGCAAGTTGGCATGTTGGCCCCTGCTGTCTCTCGGATGTATTCCTTACTTGGTTGATTCCTCCACGCGAGACAGACAGACTCGGTTCCTGAGATCCGCCACCGGACCTCCACGGACTCTCGGGCTGGCTGATCCCTAGTTCGCTTCGCTTCGCGCCGGATGAGCTCCTTTCTCTTTTCTCTCCTCCATGCATGCATCGTCTGCCCGATCCGTTCTTCCCTAGTCTTAGATCGTGGACCGTGGTTTTTGCCCCACGGCCCTTCATCATGTATATACGCGCTGTCGGGCGGCGGTCATCTTATCCTCTCTTCTCAATTCCTTTCTTTCATTGACCTCCATTTCCCCGCATTATCCCAATCTTTCTCTCTTCGATCTCTGTTCCTTGTCTCCCCGCAGGTGGGTGTCGTGTCTCTGTCCTCTCCTCTATACAGACCACAGACCACAGACCACACCAGACCTCCGCGGAAGTAAGACTGTAAGACTCTCCCTCATCCTTCCCCAACCCATCAATCTCAATCCTAACCATTCCAGCCGCAACTCCCTCCTCATGACCGCCGTCAGCATCGTCAAACCCAGTCGTCGCGGGAATGTCTCCCGGAAACGTCCCCTCTGGCTCCCCATCATCGCGCCAAAAGACGAGACCATCCCATCCACTCCGGGCCCAAGTCTGTCCGTTGGGCCCATTAAGAATCCAATTCCCAGGTCGCGACTCCGTTTTCCCCCACGGTCTCGCACCGGATGCTGGTATGTCGCTTTCTTCCAACCAGACTGTGTGCGTGGGCGCGTTCTAATCTCCATCTAGGACTTGTCGGGTGAGTCGCTCATCTAACTGCAACAATGCGACTTGAGATAGCTAATCTCCTCGCCGACCGTGTAGAGTCGCAAAGGTGAGTCCAACGAGCAATTCCTTAAATTCAGATGATCGGATTGGTCTAACCGACTGCGCCAGTGAAATGCGATGAGAGTCACCCTCAATGCAATGTACTACTACACGTCCTCTCCGAACACACCGTCTTTACTAATCTCCCCAGCAATGTACCCGTCTCGGTCATGCCTGCGACTACAAACCCCGCCTCTGTTTCCGCGATGACACCCGTCGCGTCATGGAGAGAATGTCTTATGTCAAGATCGCCGGGAACGTCGTCTGGGATCGTACGAGCTACTTCTTTCTGATTCGTGTTCTCACACCCTAACATGGTCCAGCCAACGCAATCGCTCTGACGGCGCTTGCTTCGGACGCCCTACCCCACGACCTGCTCCCCTCCTTCGCCGTCCTCGCATCGGACGAGGAGCGCGAAAGGAAAGCCCAGGCCTCTATCCCCGGCACCTATCATGTCATTGTCATCCCCGAAAGCTTCGCTCATCTGCCTGAATACACCACGACGCCGTGCGACAAAGATCTAGACCCCCTCTCGTCGCCGATCAGTGCCGATGGCGAAAGCGACCACCTCGACAGCCCCATCGAAGTGGACGATCCCAACGTGGTGATCGTCAAGATCGTTCGAGACACCCGAAGATACCCATACTCCCACCGCCGGGATTCGACGCAAACCCCCGACTCCGACCTCCCGCTGCCTTTACCCGTCGACTCCGCCTTGTATCCGGCCATCCAGAGTATCGTGGACGAAGACCCCGCCCACGACAAATTCGATCTCAGGAACTATGAGATCGGTCTCTTTGACCACTTTCGCCATGTCGTCTGGCAGCAGTTGATGGCTGGGGGGACGATCTTTGCCCGTTCGAACCACCACCATTTGGATGTTGACCTATTCGAGCAAGAAGCGGCGAACTTTCCTCCGGTGGGTGGAGCGCCCCATCTACACAGGGATATTTGCTTATCAGTTTACAGCTGTACCATGCAATCCTGGCCGTGTCAGCTCTGAGTCGATTCCGGCAAGGAGATGACCAGAGTGTTCATAGCCTGCATTATGTCAACCAAGCGTATGACTATCTCCAGAACAACTTCGACAGCGCGAACGACGTGGTTTCCGACAGGATCTTTCTTACCTATTTCTTACTTTTGATTTATGAGGTGCGTCGAGTGTCATATGTTTCGCTGTCTGCGACACGGCTAACGACTCTTAGACGATCGCGCCGAGAACCACTGCTTCCTCCGTATGGTCCCATCATGTCTCTCGTCTTCTGCAAATATACATCGCCCGGCAAACAACCCTGGGCGGAGAACGGTATCCATTCATCATCTGGTGGATCTGCAATATCGACCTGCATGCCCTTCTCAGCGGCATCGGGACGGGAGAGTTCGTGAGGACCGTCATCGATCACAACATCTACCCGGGGCTGGACTTTCTGCTCTATCGCATGGAGGACGGCCGCTATCCAGCCGAGCCGGACAACCTGTCCATGACATTACGCCTATATCATAATACGTTTACGCTGCTCGTCCGACTGGGGCTGTTTGCGGCCAGCGCGCGAGAATTCCGCCAGTCATACCCTGATTCGCCGCTTGACCACCAGCTCAACGCCGCAGAGGAACTGCGCGAGGAGCTGCGGCGGCTGTGGGGGTCCTCGGAGATGTGTTATTTGGTCGAGAATCGGGAGAGCCTTCCCGAATTGGCACAATATATCCTCCAACAGGTATGCCCGCTCCACCGCTCCGTCAACCTATCCACAAACGCAGCCCTAACATCTAACTGTAGATCACGATCCTCTTCCACACCGCTCTCCTCTTCTCCTACACCAGCCTCTGGCCCCGACAGCGGCTGGAACAGGGGCAAGCGACCGAAGACGAAATCCACCACCATGCGACGATGATCCTGCAACTGGCGGAAACGCTGATCCCCAGCGATGGCGAGTGCGGTCGCAATCTGATCGGGTTTCCGATGTTTTTGGCTGGGGCGGTGGCGGCGTCGAGCGGGCTGAAAATCCGCGCGTGGCAGTTGCTGTCCCGGCTGGAGGAGGAGGAAATGGGGTATAATGCATCGACGACGAATTACCTGCTGCAACTGGTCTACGAGCGACAGATGCAACACTCACGGCATGGAGGGGAGGCGATTTGGATCGACTGGATGGAGCTGGTGGCTGCGCGCGAGTGTCCGGTGCATTATGGATGAGGTCATGATGTTATGATTTTTATTTTTGTTCGTTATGGATGCGATGACTGGAGTATGGATATGATATGATATGGTTATGGATATGGGTATGGATCTGGATGGGTGGATGGGTGGATGTACATGTACCTACTTACGGAGTATACCAAGTCAACGAAGTTGTGGATCCAACTGGTCAACCATGGATCAAGTGTTTACTGCAACTGCAACTGCAACTACAACACACCTCTGCCTAAAAGAATACTTAGTCCACAGCAAACCTTCATCACAAACAAGGCACATGCGTCGCAGCAATATACCCTGTCATTCGCTCGTATACTGGCGCCGAGTCGGTTAGATAGTCCGCCGGGGCCAATGGCTGCATGCGCTTCAGCTGGGAAAATCCCCGGCGCTTAAGTTATTAACGATAGGGAATATCCCATCATCATCGGGTACACATCCTCCTCCTCTTCCTCCTCCCCTCACTCTCACTCCCATCCAGAAAGGGTTCTACTCCTTTTCGTCCCTTCTGTGGTGGTCACCGTCTCGTCACGGACTAATTACCTGCCCGCTCTCTGTCTCTAAGCGCCGACTCCCCGCATCGCTGCCTCACCCCTCATCACTCGCTGACTTCGTCTCGGATGGTGGCAGCCTGCAGTCTGTTCAGTACTTTTGCTCGATAACCGCCACCACTCTCAACCTGAGCAGCCGGGGAACACTCTCTCCCATCACCATGAATCCTGCCATCCGTCCGGGCAATCGCTCCGATGAGGAGCTGTTTCTCAACACCACCGGGCAACCGCGGGCGGAATCCCCGGTCGTTGAGCCATTGCGCATTAACAAACGCGACACCCCTTCGCCTGCTGCACAGAGCAATCCTCTCCCCTATCCCGACGACCGTCCACGCCCACACCAGATGCGCTCCTCCAGCTCCAGCAGCTCGAGTCCTACCGCCGACCCGGGTCGCTCAGCGGGGTCACCGAGGCCCACCGAGTACCCTGCCGCGCTCCGGCCGCGAGATGGCCGTGAACCGAAGCCGGCCACGCTGGCGGAGCGTCGAGGAAACATACCCAAGCCGCTTCCAGAGTCCCCCGCCAGCGACGGCCCGGACCGAGAGGGGCTCTTTGCGAGGAAATACCAGCGTGGTCCGGCGCCCCCTCCCGCGGTGACTGGGGCACAGTTGGATGGGAATAACTATACCGACTACCGTCAGCAGCAGTACTGGCCGCCGCCCCAGCCTTTGAGCTCTGCTGGACCCTCCGCGAGCCAGACCCTGCAACCGCCCAACAACGCCATCAATCGCATTAGCTCCACCGCATCCACCTCCACCACGCGAGCCCAGCGAGGCTCTCCCCCACCCCCGGAGACCCCCATCGTCGAACCCGGTCACCCGCCGGCCTCGGATATCGAGGCGCGATATGCTGCCTCGGGCATCGCGGGCACCTCGACGCTCACCGGCTTACAGGCTCAGAGCGCCGCCGCGCAGCGACGAGCAGAACAGTATGCCGGCCAGCAGCCCCGGAACCCGGTGCAGAGGCCGTGGACGCCGACCGAACAGCCGGGCTCGCAACCCCACGGCCCACCCACAGTGTACCAGGGAGCAGAGGTAGTATCCGATGGCCCTGCGCCGAACACGCTCGCCGCAAACAAACCTGCGGCCGCCGCCGCCTCCCCACCGCCGCCGGCTCAGCATCCGGCGAGAATCCCGCAAAATGCGCTGGAGCAGGACCTCGAGCGCATGCGCATTAGCTCGTCGCCTCCGCCGGCGTACTCCAGCGTCTCTGGACCGGCCGCTTCGCAGGGATATCCGAATGAGAAGCAGCGCATGCCGGCGTCGACCGCTCCGCCGGTGTCGGCAGGCGCTCATCCTGCTATGGCGGCGCCTGCTGCTGCTGCCAGTGCTGCTGCAATGCCTGTCACTGCGGTGCAGGAACATCCGGCGTTTGCGAATGACCCGGCGCTTCAGCAGCCTCTCCGGCAGTCGCCGGTAAATAATGCGCAGAATGGCCTCCCGCAGGAGCCACAGCAGCAGGTCCAACAAGCCCAGGTCGGCACCCTTCCGCCCGCCTCTGGTGTCCCTCCTGCGTCGCCTCCGCCGCTCCCAGAGGGCTGGATCGCCCATCTCGACCCGAACTCGGGGCAGTACTACTACATCCACCTGCCCACGCAGTCGACGCAGTGGGAGTTCCCGAAGGGGCCGACGCCGTTGAACCTCAACGAGACCCCCCTGTCGCCGGTAGGAAGTGTCTACAGCAGTCATCCGCTTACGTCGCCGGGGCTGTCGGCGTTCGGGAAGCCGATGGCTTCGCCGGGGCTGCCCATGACACCAGGGTATGAGAGTCTGCAATCGCCAGTCGCAGCGGGATTCACCGGCCCGCCTCCGAGCAGCGGCGTCGACCTGTATAAAGTGGCGCCCACCAATGGAGTCTACTTCGGACCGTATCTCCGTTACACCAACATGGATATCGAGCGAGGTCTGTGGCTCGGGTCCATCCTGCTGGTGACGGATGCGGCCCAGCCGCCGACCATCCACATCCACCAGAGCGTCGACCTGTCGCCCAACCCTCGCCAGCTGAAGGCGTTCCCAATTGCGGTCCATCGACGATGGACGTTCTACAAGTACGAGGTTGACCTGCGGATGGAGGAGTCGGGCCCCGCCAAATGGACGTACGCGATTACCTCGCACCTCGGCTGCACGCGCTACGAGTTTCTAGTCGCTGGACGATACGAAACAAACTGGCGGTTCATCGCCACCTCCGGCAACGACTTCTCTTTGAACGTGAACGCTAACGAGCGGTCCCGGCTGGGTGGCGTGGGGTTCATGTGGAAAGACATCATGCAGAAGCACAACGAGATTGGCGGGTTCCATGCGCAGCTGTGTCTGGGCGGCCAGATCTACGCGGATCGCATGTGGAAGGAAATCGCCTCCCTCAAGCAGTGGCTGGCGATCAGCGGAAAAGACGCCCGGAAGAATGTGCCTTGGACGGCGGCCCACGAGGAAGACGTGTCGCATGCGTACTTCCATTACTACACGAGCCACTTTGACCAGCCATACCTGCGGGAGTCGTTTGCGCAGATCCCCTACGTCTGTCAGCTGGATGACCATGATATGTGAGTGATCGTATTTTTTAGGCGCTGATAGAGGCCCATACCTGACCGTGCTAGCTTCGATGGCTTCGGCTCATACCCCGAGCACATGCAGTTCTCGAACATGTTCAAGAACATCGGCCGCATCGGCATCGAGATGTATCTGCTCTTCCAGCACCACACCACGCTGGATATCCTCCGCAACGTCAGCACCGACACGGACCTGTTCACCATCACCGGCACCGGCTGGCATTTCGTCAAGTATCTCGGTCCTGCGGTGGTGGTCGTCGGGCTGGACTGTCGCTCTGAGCGGAACCCTCACCAGGTCGTCGCCGGCCCGACCTACCAAGGCATCTTTCCCAAAGTGGCCATGCTGCCGCCGTCCGTGCAGCACTGTCTGTGGATGATCTCCGTGCCCGTGGTGTACCCGCGGCTGGAGACGGCTGAGCACATCGCCCACACCGTGGCGTCTGGCAAGCGGGCCGTCACCGGCGCCTACAACGTCCTGGGCAAGGTGACCAGCTCGGTGGCTGGGGTCGTCGGCGCCAAAGAGGTGGTCGGGTCAGGGTTCGACTCGGTGAAGCGGGCCGTCGGCAAGTCTGGGCTGATGGGAGGGATTCTGAGTCCATTCGGCGAGTTTGACCTGATGGACGAGCTGCGCGATCAATGGACGCACGAGTCGAAGGTGCCCTCTCCTAAACCCGCATCCATGCGCACAAGCTAATGTTAGTGACAGGACCTCGAACGCACATACCTCATCCGCACGCTCCAAGGCATCGCGCACCAAAAGTCGCTAAGAATGACCTTCCTCTCCGGCGCCGTCAACGCCTGCGGCGCCGGCCTCGTCCACGACCCAGCCCACCCCTCCGACCACAAAACCATGTACCAGCTCATCTCGTCGTCCGTCGTGAACAGCCCGCCGCCCAGCTACATCCTCAAACTGCTGCACGGCAGCAACAAGCCCATCTACATCCCGGCCAACGGGCACCGCTCCACGCCGTCCCAGCCTACCGATACCAAGGAAGACATGATGGAGATCTTCCAGTCGGATGTGACGGGGCAGAGCCGCGAGCACCGGAAGTTGATGGGGCGGCGCAACTATGTGGCAATCGTGGCGTATGACCCGGACCTGGTCTCGACGTTCGGGCAGCACCAGGGCCATGGCGGGAAGCTGAACCTTGCGGCGGATTTTATGGTGCAGGGCGAGGGGGCGTATGGGAATGTGGTGAAGTTTGGGCCGGTCATTGTTCCGAGTTTGGGGTGAGCCTATTAATTGGGAGTATGTTGTTATTTCTTATGTGTGTTGATCCAGCGTTTAGATTCTAGTCATAGCATAGCTTTCATTAAGCCATCATTGTTATTCAAGACCATGTCCAACAGGCTCTGCTGCCTGCATTACTGCAGAGTCCTGCTGGGGTATACCAGCATCATCGTGAATCATAAGTCGTAATTCATACTGCATACCTACTAGTGTGTGTCCATGCTATCCAGTAGGATCTCCCCCAGGAACACACAACCCCAACCGCAGAAAATAATCCCGATGCGCAAAGAGCAGCTCCCAGAGCCGGTACTTGGCCGGAACAAGATCCCAGAGCCCGCCGCGGGCAGACAACACCACCTGTCCCTGTTCCCCAGACCGTCCCTCAGACTCACTCTCCGCCCCCGCAATACACCTCACATCCGCATCCCCCTCACAAAAAACCACATCCTCGATACCCGGCCCCGTCCCAGGCCTAGAAATAAACACCTCGCCGCCATGCATGGCAAACCCCCACTCGGCCGCAGGCAACAACGGCACCGGATCATCCACATGCGTCACGCGGCGAAACCCCCACCCCCCTGTGCCTCCGCTGCCATCCAACCCAAAAACCCCATCCAGAAACCGACAGAAATCAGCGTTCCCAACCCTCGGCTCCCCAAACGTCGTCACCCGCGGCCTCCACCCCCGCAGTGCCATCTCCGTGCCCGCCAGCGCGGCCACCGCCCCGCCGAGCGAGTGGCCCACGACCTCGACTTCGTAGTCCGGGTAGCGCGCGCGCGCGGACGACACGTGGTAGAGGACTGTGCGGCGGGCGGCGTGCCACGAGGTGAGGAAGCCCGTGTGTACGGTGCAGTTGTTGCATGCTTCGCTGCTGCCGGTGTCGGTTGTGTCGTTTTCCGGGTGGTATGGTGTGTATGGCTGCGGGTAGGCGGAGAGATCGAGGACCGTGTTGGCGAGGGAGTAGGTGCCGCGGAAGGCGACGATGATGCGTTGTGGGGGGTTGTGCGCGAAGGCGATGTAGCCGGTTGAGTCGGCGAGGAAGGGGCCTGTGTTCCAGGTCTATTGTTATAGATATCATGTTAGTTGGAAGGGTCTGGAGGATGGGATGGGGGAGGCTACGGTGATGAGTTCAAAGCCGTCCAGGTCGCTGCAGTGGCTCAGGCATTCGAACGGTTTGTGGATCCCTGTGCCTGCGTCGCCGACGCAGTAGGTGATGTCGACGATGCGCGCGAGCTCGGAGAGGGAGGTGAAGAGCTCTGGGGAGATGGTGCGGTTCGTCGCATGGTGCGCTGCGCACAGGGGGGTTAGGCAGGTTAGGAGATAGTACAGTATGGAGAAGAACATGGTGGTGTTATCGATCGTGGAGAGGCATGGTGGTCAACAACTCCAACATTGCTTTGTTCAGGTCCAGATGGGACGAAGCTCGTGACAAGGAGCGTGACGTCGAGAATCCGGGGTAGGTTACGTAAGAGCTGACCTTACTTTTCTAGGTACTAGTATTTATGCGCGTACAAATGCATCTTATTTATGCGCTACTACTAGAATAGCATATCTATGTACTACTGCCCCGTCAAATGCTCCAAATAACCACCCGCCCATCAACTCCGCTCGCTACTAAAGTCAGCAAAACCCAAGTCAACTCATACCACATCACTTACTGCTAAGCTTGTGCACAGCCCCGTTACTCTCCTCGTACACTCGGACAGTGCTGATGGTGTTCTGGTGCGTCGACTTCAGCTTGGTATCCACCTGCGTCTGGCCCTTCAGATCCATCTGGCGGAACATGTTCAGCGCAGACTCCTCGCGCACGCTGCCTGCGCCAGGCCCCGCCTTGTTCTCGAGTGAGCCGGTAAGCTGCCATCCGCTCTCGTCGCCGCGGAAGCGGTAGGGTTCACAATCCTATCCAGTTAGTGCGTTGCAAGCGGCAGGGAATGAGGTAACATACGTGACCGGCGGCGATAATCTCGTTCTCTCCGTTCCAAATCAGACTGGTAAACGGAAGCAGACGGGTGGTGATGTTCAGCATGGCGCGCGGCGGCTGCTCCGGAGCACTAGGATAGACGACCGTGATGCTGCTGTCATGGCCGGTGAACGCGAGCGCATCTCCGCTAGGCGAAAAAGACACCCCGTGAATCCAACCGGCGGAGTCGTTCAAGAACTCGCCGCAAATCGTGTTGAACGGAAGACGCTCGCCCCAGGCGCTCGGCTCGGGACGCGTGTCCACGCCCTTGATGTAGCTCGAGAGCACTCGCGCATGGGAGTCCGTAGAGCCGGCGGCCAAGAGGACCGAGTTGGGATGCCACGCAAGCGTGGTTATGGTGCTTCGGATCGGTTTCTTCAGGTGCTTCGAAATCCACCAGTCGTTCTCTTCCTCGAAATAGCACACCGCAATCACGCGCGCGCCGGATCCGACGGCGAACTTCTGCTCCGACGGGGACCACCGCACGAAGGTGGCGGCCCGGTTAATCCGAAGAAGAACAAGGGTTGGCTTCCATCCAGAGGGGGTTTGCTCCCACACGTAGGCGTTGCGATCTAAAGTGTCGGGTTAGCCAATGCCTTGGAGGCTAGAGAGGAACGCACCCTGAGAGCAAGTCACGATGCGGCCGCTGTTGGGGGCAATGTCGACTCCAGTCACGGTCTTCTCGTGGCCCTTGAGTTCGTCGGTCAGGGCGAACTTGGCGCCGCTCTTCTGGTACAGTTCCACATTGTTGTCCCTCGCGACGGCCAGCGTCTGCTTGTCAGACGAGAAAGAGTGGTCGGCAATTGGGTTGTGGAACAGATGGTGGACTTCGGCAGACATGGTGAATAATTCGACAGGAGGAGCTCTCTACTGTCGAGTACACTGTGAGTAGTGATGGCGGGGTTGGAGAGGCAGCTGTCTGTTTCTCCTGACGATGACGCCGATGGGTTACGTAAGTTATCACGTGATGAGACACGGATCTTTACCAGCGGCCTAGTTATCCACAGGAGCAGCAGATTCAGATCGCGTCGTCCCGATCCTCCTGGAGCCACCCGTGTTTCTCACTATAATTGAAGGGTCTCCTGAAAATAACCCCTGGTTTCTCATCAAGATGTCTACAAAAAACCTCCCTTCACGCGGTGGTGCCCAGGGCAAGCCTGCTACCGTCCCCAACCAAACGTCAGTAGCGACCTCCAAGCCAGAGATAGACACATTACTGACTTTATAAGGCTCTATTGCACGAATCTTCCGGATAAGCTCCGCAAATATGACCTCCGGCTGTCACTCTACACGCTCTTTTCCACCTACGGGACCGTCCTAGACGTCGTGGCCATGAAGACCGAAAAAATGCGCGGTCAAGCCCACATTGTGTTCAAGGATGTGCAGGCGAGTACGCAGGCTATGCGTGCGCTTCAGGGATTCGAGTTTTTTGGTAAACAGATGGTCAGTTGATACCCGTTGCGACCGTCTCAATTGATGCTGACTAGCAAAGAAAATCGTTTACGCTAAGGGTACCTCGGACGTGATTGCTCGACTCCGTGGGACCTACAACGTAGCTCCCACTGTGCCGACCGCCGCTCCCTCAACGGACCTTCAGAAATCGATTTTCAGCGGTCCCCCTGGTTCAATGGCTTTGCCCCCCAAACCTGAGACCAACGGGGAGTCCCAGGCCACCCACGGCGTCAAACGCCCTCGTGAAGAGGAGAGCGACGAAGGCGAGGCGCCAATGGATGAGGATAGTGACGTGCCGATGGAAGCTTCGTCCGATGAGGATTAAATTCATTCATGGAGTCTCACCCTGGTGGGGGGTGAGGTGAGAGGAGAGGAAAGACAAGGATGGGACATTCCTCACCCCATTCCCGGCTCCGGACCCTTCTCTCCGCCATCCAGGCTTTGGACGTCCCCGGTTTCGAAGAGTTCACGTGGCAAGCTGAGGCCGAGGCGATTTCCCACCAACCCGAGCCAGAGCATGAGGTAGAGCTCGGGCGTGACGCGCTGGTGCCCTGCGATTTGCTTCATTGCATCGGCGGTGTTGCACGGATGAACGAAGAACATGGGGGCCCCGGAATGTGGATGGTACTACGCAACATGAGCACTGGCACCGACCTTGTTGGACGATTGACAAGCACCTACACCCAGACTAATACCGCCCATGACCCCGACGCTTTGGAGTTCCTTTCTGTACTGGGGTGGGACCATATACCGGTAGACCTCATCTATGCCCAGTGGTTTGGGATGGCCTGTCTGCCGGAGGGTGAAGTATAGCACCGGGACTTGGTACGTGGGAGAGAGGAGGACTTGATATTCTACCTGTACACTAGGATCCGAGTCCGACGGGCGGATCAGTGCTTCCTGTGCATAGCTGTCAGTGCCGAGAATTTTACTATCATGTGGGACGGTATGACACCGACCGGATCGTCGTCACTGATTTCTACGGGAGCGTCTTGGGGGGATAGAGCCTCGGCGTTATCGTAGTCAAAGCTTTGGGAGATGTTCAGAATCGGGCCAGTTGCCTAGTACTGTCAAGCAATGTCCTATCGGTACTGCGTAGAGAATCGAAAGGTGGGGGGAGGGATTAGGCTCCCGGCCAATAGGGTCTCCATACCTGGTCTAGCACGCGAAAAGAAAACCTCCCGGTGTCAACGGGGAGAATGCGATGGAGGAACGTGCGACAGGCGCAGTCGAATTCCGCGGGGGTGAGAAAAGGAAAGGCCGACAGAGTGGCGGACATTCCTGCAGCAATGGATGGTGGCACGAGGATCGGGTGGGAGAGACAAGAGAGAGACGCCGTTTTCGATGGAGTCGTTAGTGAGAGAGGGGAGTGTTTGCAGCGGCTGCCTTGCTTGCTGGAGCTCCACCGCTCCGCAGCCGCAATGACATAATCATGAACTTTTTGTTTACTTCTGGTGGCTGGTGATTGTACAGTACTGTATACTGTATACTAACTAATGCACCTCGACTAGATCCTTGATGAGGATGGTCAGAGTGCATATCATACGGTCAGTCCACAATCCGGGTATTCGACAAGAGGCCTCGCCCGTGGGGATGGTGCGACGAGCTCCCAACGGATGGCCCCCTGATCTACTACCTACTCTGCTTGCGGCATCTCCACTCCAATGAAGCTGACTCTCTCCACCTCTTCTGACACTCCAGTCATCCCTATGGAGCTCGCAACGTGCCAGTCCCCAGTCTATCGCAGACTCAGACTCCGCGACTCCTAGATCTCTTCCGCGTGCGGCCTCCCACACAATGCTCTTGTCCGATCGATCCGACTGCAGCCCGTCGATCGGCCATTTCCGTGCTCTTTCGCCCGCCGACAGCTCGGCCATGGTTGAACGCATTCGTCATGCTTGTGTGTCCATTGCATCGTCCGTCTCTCTCCACTCCTCTTATGTACCTTATCTTCCCTTGCGTGGTCCCTACCGGCGCTGTCATGGAGTCGCATCTCCTCAACCTTGTTGTCCTGTTTTTCTTTTCCTCCTTCTTCCATGTTTCACTCTTCCAAAAGTTCTCTTCGGCATTCACTATACCCAGCCCCGTCGTCCCCATACCCATACCCCAGCCGGACTGTTTCTGCGTTGTCTGACTTTTCTCTTGTTTGATGAAAAAAAAAAAGTTTATAATTTATTCTCTTCATTATTCTCCTTTCTTTTCGCCACCCTATTGCTGGCATCCCCATTCGTATCTATTGCAGACCGATATTCCTCCAAAATTTACGGCCCAGCGCCGCCTCGCAACGTCAGCTCAACCACCCAACAGCCATTGCATAACTCATCCGGCAGAACAAGCCCATCGGTACCTGACGGTCCAGTCGGTCGATCCGCAGGTCAAAATCCGAGCCTCTGGGCCTGCACTCCGAACTTCACCGCTCAGTGACCTGTCCATGTCGTGTCTAAGCTGCTGTTAAAGCCCGGGGGGAGTCTGCATTCTCAGTCTACCGGATCCTGCTCGCATCCGCAAGTCATGGGAAGCTCGCTCTCGATCCAGAGTAGAGACAAGCGCCGCCGTTCCAACCGGCTGTCCAAGCCCCCTTCCAATCTAGTCACTTTGTCATCTTCGAGCCATGGCGCCGCTTCCCAGCCCATCTCTCCCTCCAGCGCTCCTGCATCGTCGACCCCCGTGGACTGGCAGAATCCGTGGACTGGAGCATCCGTCTCCGTCGCCTCTCCTGGAACCCAGTCTAGCGGCCAAAGGTCCCAATCCTTTCCGTCCGCATCGATCCATTCGGAACCGCCCCGGGTGACTACCAGTCATATCGGCCGGAGTCAGTCAATTGTCAAAGAAAAGGTCGACCGGTCGCCTACCTCAAGCTCCAGTACGTCCGGGTCTTTGTCCCAAAGAGCCTCCTTTCAGCCCGCCAAACAGACGACGTTTCAGCCAACGACGCTGTGGAGTGAGCCCCCATCGCCATTGGGTCGACCGGGGCCCCCGAAAAGATCCTACTCGGTCCAGTCGCCGCCTCGCAGAACCCGTGCCACCATATATGGGAGTATGTTGGAAGATGCGGCATCTTCCAACACCCATTTTATGGTCGATAGCCAGGGTTTTTCACTGATCCGGCGACGTTCCTTGCTTACACGGCCCGGTATCGCTACACGGCGGTCGTCGAGAAAAGTCGTCCAATGTCTTCCTTCTCCAATCGACCACGAGGCTGGGTTTGCACCCGCGGAGCCTCTGGATCAATGCCATAGGCACTATGGGCCATTGCCGGAACATGACAGCCCGCTCTCGCTCCCCCCATTCCGCCCGCCGACTCCAGGTGATTTTGAATACACTCATCTAGGAGCCCTTAAATTGGGCTCCCTGCGTGTGGTCAACTGCTCTACATCACCATGCCCTAGCGATCGATCGCGCCTCACACAAGCACGCAGTCCGTCCCCAGTCCTTGGGGAACGGCGCCCGTATACGGCAGAGGAATGGCCCTTCCGGGGGGAATTTCAAAGCTTGGGATCGCCAGATGGCTTTGAACTAATCCACAAAGGCTCCCCTGATCTGGATGTGATGACGCTGGCTACGAGCGACAAGTCAAAGTCCCTCCCTGGCACCTCGTTGGACCACGGCGGCAGGTCAGTTCCCGCATCAACCCTGGAAAATGGTGGCGACTGTCCCTCAGCCTCTGGCTTAATTGTGGAGTCGTCCGCCACCATTCTCCCTCAGAGGCACCCCTCCAAGAGCACGGATGAAGGGATCTCTGTCTCCGACGAAGACCGGGGATCCACGGCGCAAGCTGGGGGCTCGACCAAAGGAGAATCAAAGTATTTGCCATCGCGTACACATAGGAAAGTCGACAGTGGGTACAGTTCGGCAGCCTCGGTTCGCTCCTTGCAGGATGCTCGTATTAGAGTGTCAATAGACTCGCAGGCTTCTGCACAGTTCCCTAGGTCGCGCAGATTCACCCTGGGTAGTGATTCTGGAAAACTGGATCTATCGAGGATGAAAACATCTGCCGACCTCGGCAATCAACTTCCTCTAAACCGGCATCTGAGCCTTTATGGCTCCAGAACGCATACATCCGGTCCGAGTGCTTGGTCGACGAGCTTGTCTTCGATGTGTCTCGAGACTTTCCAGATCCCGGCAGATCGACGCCCGCGGAGCTCGTCATCCTGCATCCCCCAAGGCATCAGTCGTGCGCAGTCTCTTTCTCGGTACTGCGCTCAGCTTCGTAACATTGAAGCTGCGCCTCTTGTGCCTCCCTCTGTACAGCAGACAGAGAAGCTTCGGATGGCTGATGCAGAGGGTTCTGTATATGGAAGCTCTTCCTCAAGGCGCCTTTCAAGCCCCGAATGCAAACGGAGGCCTCCTGGATCTCGGCCAGGATCCGGGTAGGTACGTGGAGACAGGCGAAGTGTCCTCCGAAACGACTGGTCACGACAAAACTCACGCAGCTGCCGGACTTCGACGGCCCAAATCCTTCTCCAGACCGCGGTGCACAGGTACGGTGGCCAGCGAGGGGGTCGATGTGACCATTCTCCCTGCTCCCGAACTACCCCGAGGCCGAGCAAGGAGCCGCAACGACGAATACCAACGACGCCGGCTGTCAAAGCCGCAGAAGAGCACAAACCTCTATGCGGCGACGTCGCCTTTCATCTTCCATTGACATTGACTTGAATAAAACTCATCTTTCTATCTTGTCTACTACGCTCGTCCTTTCTCATTGCAATCTAGGCGCTGTTGGCCACTTTCTGGTGTTTATTTTACGTTTGACGGTATACCCTTCTTGGTACGCAGTGGTGTTCGGTTCTGTCTTGTTTACAATCTCCGTCCTACTGTGGTAGGCGTCGATCGGATTCGGCTTTCACTTTTCCTTGTCACATAATGTTTATGCGGTGCCGCGTATGTTTCGAGTTTGTTGTCTTCGGCATCGATCCCCTGGCCTGTGGCGAAGATGCATCATGGATAGCGGTGAACGCAATGGGTTGTATATAGTGATGGCTCAGATTCGGTGGAGCCGCAGGATCAAAACAACAGCGGAAATGCCGCTACCAATTCAATCAGATGAGCATTTGCCAATGAACTTGCTTTCCCTAGGGCTCCTACCCGAAGCGCTTATCGGCTGTTACCTGTCTTCGTCCTAGCATTGGACTGGTAGAAACTCTCTACTCAGGCGGATCATGGCATGCAGCTGTGGAGCAGTTTGCCAAGATCGATTGAGTTTGAGTTCTGAGGCTGTGGACCGCTGTTAGGGAATGATATAGATCAAATCTGATGAATAGATGTAGTGGGCTCATGCACGCATCAAAATGCGCATAACGGGAGATTTCGTAATCCATACGCAACATTAGCCTGGGACCGATATCAAGATCGCACGTGTAAAACACGTATTTTACTTGAATGTTCCGTTTATTAGTCGGTTTAGTTCAGATGTTGCAGGTTGGATTATAAAACATAAAAAATTCCCGAACCATAAACACTTGGTTGCTTAGTGTAGTGGTTACCACATTGGATTTTGATCGATTCGGCAATGTTCCAATAACCTGGGTTCGATCCCCAGAGCAACCTGATGTTTTTTCTTTTTCTTTTATTCTCACTCTCTATATACTATAGAAGCCGTGTCTTGCAAGATTGTATTCAGGACTGTGGTGACCATGCGATCATGCTCAGCCCGCCTATTCAATTTCCCAGACAACCCGAATCCAAGACCAGTGGCTACTGCATATGCAGCTACTTCGATAGCAGAACATGGACACGACACCGCCTCGGCTCGAGTCTCTGGATGCAGTATGGGTCATGGCAGTGCATGAACCGGTGCCTGCACCGGCCTGCACCGCAGTTTACAAATGGAATGGTATACTTGCCACGCATGCAAGGGTTCCCAATCTACACTCTACTTTTCCGTTCCTTGCGCTGTTTCCTGGGAATCTCACGGCACACGTCTGGTCTACAGTCGAGCTCCGTCCATCCTGAGTAGATAGTTCATCATTGACCACTATATGGATTCCTATACCAGCTATAACCAAGGTATGGATACCATGCCTACACTGCCATACACAATCCACAATCAAACTCTCGTACCGAGTCAGTTCACGCTGGCCGAAAAGCTCGACACGGTCATCGTAGCCCGCCCTCCAGTGAAAGGCTCCGTTCCAAACTGCAAATCTGTGCAAATAAGTCAGTCCAATCGCAAAACCAGCAACGGGAGGATTCGATTCACGCACTGATCAGATACTGGCTGGACGCCGGGTACCCATGGCGCGAGGATAGGTAATTCCAGAACTGCTGGATATCCCCGCTCCAGTGGGTGAGCGGGCTCGGCGACACAAAGCTGTACGTCTTCTGACCGCTGCCGTTGTCGCCGTACCACAGCTGCCAGGTGGTGCCGCCGATGGAGGCCGTGTCGATCTGCGAGCCGATGGGCTGGACGCCGCCGTAGCGCGCGAGCCTGGATTCCATCCCGACCTGTCAGTACGGTGTATATAGATTGTGATTGTGGACTGGGGGGTGGGGAGCGGGGTGCGCACCAGATCATCAGCTCGTAGTCGCCGCTGTAGGTGACGTGGTTGATGTCGGCGGCCGTGAAGAGGTCGTACGCCACATCGGCGTTGATGTTGGTGTTGTCGTAGCGCCAGTCCACGGTGGTGGGGATGCTGTGGATGCCGCTGACGAGCTGCTTTCTGAAGCTCAGCTGCGAGTTGGCGTAGCTCTTCACGCTGCTGGAGCCGCCCGACCAGGTCCAGCTGGTGTGCCACGCGACGCTGGAGCCGGACACCCAGTCGACGTAGGTGCACTGCGAGCCGGAGCCGCTGCCCTGGCCCCAGAGGTTGTTGTTCACCGTGTAGGCGCCGCTGGTGTAGCTCGAGTATTGACCGCATAGCGTCGACACCTGCGCGGCCGCGGTCAGCGCCAGGGTAGATACTGCGATATAGATCTTCATCGTGTTGAGTCCCCTGTGGTGTCTGTGTCTCTGGAGAAGAATTTGGAGTGACCGTAAGAGTGAGGTGAGCTGCAATTTATGGCCCGACTGCGCTGCCTCTGGCATAACCCCGCCCCATTGTGGCTAGACACTGATGAGCCTGTCGACATGTTTGAGACTGCTCAGTCCAAGAATCGAAAGCTCCGTTGACAGACTCGGCCAGGCTCCGGCGCAGGCAATACTCAAACGGATACAAGGTGTACAGGCCCGACTTCCCGTGAGGAGCCTGATGATCGTTCCCTGCATCGCACCTAGTTGCACCACCACGATGCCGGCATATAAAATGGGACCCTGAAAGTTGGCCCCAAGCCTAGCGCCGGAGAAGTCGACCATCAAGCGTTCGGCAACGACGCCACCATTCACTCTCTCTGCAACGTCGTGACGGGAAAGGCCCCCGAGTAGGAAGTTGACTTCAGCCGTGCGGGGTTGTTGTATACGGAGTACACGGAGTAGCTGGACGAAACCGGTACCCCGGTGATGGCAAACAATTATACACTCAGTTGAGGGCCGATGGTGGTTGTACTGGTTGAGCCCTGGCGACTCCAGTCGGCAAAAAAAGACCGTTCTGCGCTATATCAACCGTCTTTTCTTAGCTTCAACCGCCTGACCAATGGGCCATCCCGTGTCAACTGCTCTGGCCCGCTGATTAGATGGCTCGACTCTGGGGTTCGATTCTGGGGTACCTGTGTAACACTCTTCACAAACCCCAACAGGGGAGGAAATGAGGGGAACTAAAGCGCATCCCTGTCGTCCCCCTTAGGAGCCAGCCCTTAAGGATACGGCCACGCCCCCGTCCGGGGGAAAAACATCGTATGCATGGAACCCAACGGCATTCCGCCCATGATCTCTGCCGGTTACAATGCAAGCCCTTGTTCTGTCCTTGTTGACAGCGACCTCTATGGTCCACGCGCATGACTGGCGCGGAGAAAACTGGGACCAGGCGTATGCTCAAGCACGCCAGGCGCTGCAGAAACTGAACCTGACCGAAAAGGTGGGTATCGCGACTGGTGTCAAGTGGATGGGCGGCCCCTGTGTGGGTAATACCTACGAGGCCAGCGTCATCGACTATCCATCCCTGTGTCTGCAGGACTCGCCTCTAGGCATCCGTTTTGCCAATCCCGTCACGGCATTTCCGGCGGGCATCAATGCCGGAGCGACCTGGGATCGGGACTTGATACGCGCTCGCGGTGCGGCCATGGGTGCGGAGGCCAAAGGCCTCGGAGTGCACGTCCAGCTGGGTCCGGTGGCCGGGCCTTTAGGCAAGATCCCCAGCGGTGGTCGTCTCTGGGAGGGCTTCTCCGTGGATCCCTACCTTAGCGGCGTCGCGATGGAGCGGACCATCACCGGCATGCAGGCGTCTGGTGTGCAAGCATGCGCCAAGGTACGTCCTATCCGTCTATGTGTTGCTATGCCTAGGGAACCGTAGCTGACTTTATAGCACTGGATTGGGAATGAGCAAGAGCACAATCGTGACACCATCAGCTCTGATATCCCTGACCGCGCGGCACACGAGCTATATGTCTGGCCGTTTATGGATGCAGTGCGGGCGAATGTGGCCTCGGTGATGTGCTCGTACAATAAGGTCAACGGCTCCTGGGCGTGCGAGAGTGATGCTGTCCTGAACAAGCTGATGAAGACCGAGCTAGGCTTTCGTGGGTATATTATGAGCGACTGGAACGCCCAGCATACTACTATCAATAGCGCACTTGCGGGATTAGATATGACTATGCCTGGGAGCGATTTTAGCAATCCCCCCGGTAGTGTCTTCTGGGGACCTACCTTGGTAGCCGCTGTGACGAATGGTTCAGTGCCAGAATCACGCGTGGATGATATGGTGACCCGGATTTTGGCCGCATGGTATCTGGTCGGTCAAAACGAGGGCTATCCACCTGTCGCCTTCAGCTCGTGGGACGGTGGGAAGGCCAACGTTAACGTGACGGACAACCATGCGGCAGTGGCCTATGCAGTTGCACGCGACTCTATTGTTCTACTTAAAAACGATGATCGTGCTCTTCCCCTTCGTCGCCAGAAGAGCCTTGCTATCATCGGACAGGATGCAATCGTGGGTCCAGCGGGACCGAACGGATGCTCTGACCGTGGCTGTAACAATGGGACTTTGGCTATGGGCTGGGGCAGTGGCACCGCTCAATTTCCGGTATTCCCTTTGATCGACTTCAAGTCTGCGCCGAACCAGAACTAACTCTGAGAAGTATTTGGTCAGCCCACTCGATGCAATCCAGCAACAGGCAAAAGCGGACGGCACTAAGATTGTCTCCAGTACCACTGATGACACCACTGCAGCAGCTTCAGCCGCCGCTGCGGCAGAGACAGCCATTGTTTTCGTCAACTCCGACTCCGGCGAAGGGTAAGTCAGTCCATTGCGTAAGACCATCCCGGTCAAGTTGAGCTCACCACCCGCGGGATAGGTACATCACGGTCGAAGGCAACGCAGGTGACCGCAACAACCTCGATCCGTGGCACAACGGGAACGAGCTGGTGAAGGCCGTAGCAGCCGTCAACAAGAACGTCATTGTCGTCGTGCACAGCGTGGGCCCCGTCATCCTGGAGACGATTCTGGCACAGTCCAACGTGAAAGCCATAGTCTGGGCCGGTCTTCCTGGCCAGGAAAGCGGCAACGCCCTGGTAGACATCCTCTACGGTCATACCGCCCCGAACGGCAAGCTGCCCTACACCATCGCCAAGCAGCAAAGCGACTACGGCGCCTGGTGGACCTCTGGCCAGGTCGACACCTTCTCCGAAGGCCTGTTCGTCGACTACCGTCACTTCGACCAGAAGGGCATCACGCCCCGGTACGAATTCGGCTATGGCCTCTCCTACACCACTTTTGAGTATTCCAACTTTCACGCAAACGTCTTTGCGGTACCGGGACCGTCAGGTGGACAAGTCGTTCCCGGTGGGCCCGCCGAACTCTTTCAGCCGGTTGGGATTGTCACCGCCATGGTGCGCAATACTGGACGTGTTGCCGGCGCAGAAGTGGCACAGTTGTACCTGGGACTGCCTAACTCGGCGCCGACAAGCCCGCCCAAGCAACTGCGAGGGTTCCAAAAGGTGGATTTGAGGCCGGGGCAGTGGGCTCAGGTGGCTTTCTCCCTTACGCGCCGTGACCTCAGCTACTGGGACACTGCGACTCAGAAGTGGGTGCTTCCCAGCGGAAGGTTCTCTGTGTACGTAGGCAGCTCCAGCCGGGATATTCGGCAACAGGGCAGTTTTACTATCCGCGGAGGATGGTGATCGAGTTGAAAAGGAATGTCATCCTTGCAGCCTTGCAGTTGACATTTGGTGAAACCCCCTTTGTGAGGTGTGCTGAGTTGCAGATACATTTTTGTCATATGCATTAGTGGAGATGAAGCTGGACAGTGGAACGAAGATATGTTAAGAAGTATATTTGGTTACGGCTGGCTTACTCAGGATATTCGACCCTAGAGACGTACCTCCCAATCAGGACTCATTAGGTATCGATCTAAGCAGTGTACTTATTCTACGAGGAGCTCAATTTAATCAAGTGAGTCGATTGATGGTCATCACTATCGTACAATAACTATGGAGAGATATCATAAGCATTGAAAATCCCAATCAAACCATAACGCGCCATCCATGCGGAGTCATGCGATATTAAACCGAAGTTCGTCAAAGCCCGTAGCAGGACTGTCCGGTAGGCTGTCGTAAACGCTTACTCGACCCGAATCTTCTTGAGCTTCGGAGCCGGTTCCTTCGGGACAAGGACCGACAGAATGCCGTTCTTCAAGCTCGCCTTGACCGAGTCCTGGTCACACGCGGGTGGGGAAAGAGAAGGCCCGATGGAACTCCCCAACAGACCGCTCGGACACCCAGAATTTGTATGTCGGTTCGGATTGTTGCTTCTGCGGAACGACCTGCTTCGATTTGCTGGTGGAGGAGCTGACTGATTTGGCGTCGGCGTCATCTTCATCTTCGACTGTAGGCTGACGAGATTTCGACGAAGAAGCGTCGCTTGTTGTGTCATCAGCCGATTCTTGCTGGCTGGAAGTGGAGTATGTGCGTTCCGCACGGCCCTTGATGACGAGCGTGTGAGGATCGGTGAACTCAATCTCGACGTTGTTTTGGTCGACTCCCGGAAGCTCCCCATTCAGGTGATAGCCATCGTTGGCTTCGTAGACATCAAAGCGAGGAGAGAACGTGCGAACGGGGGTCACTTTCTGCTTGGGAGGACAGGAGCGGTGGGAATCATAGTCATCCAGAAGTTGGAACAGCGGCGCAAAGTCGTTGGAGAAGTTCGAGAAGAGAGCCATTTTTGTGAGTGATGAAGAAGTGATGATTGATATGGAGGTGTTTGTCAAGATGGTTTGGAAGGTAGAGCGAGGTTTGATTGTTCGTTGCTATTGATTGGAGTTGTCTGATGAGAATACAGATGCAGAGGAAGCTCGTGGTCTGCCACACTTTTATATTCAACTGACGCTATTCTAGAAAGCCCTGGTATGTCCATGGTTGTGAGATGTATAAGCATCTGGGACTGTCCAGGACCTCCGAGTAACAGCTGGAAGCTGCGCGAGAGCTCTGGAGGGTTCGATGGCGATAAGATAAGCACCCGCTTGGACCTTACGGGATCCCGCGCGAACCTTCCATGCCGTTCGGTGCATATAGTCACGTGATATTTGGTTGATTCCATTTCCCGCGGGAATGGGGATGTGTCGAGTCGGAAACAAGCAGACGGTATGCCTTCTGACCTAGCGCGGGACTCGCATGTCCCTACGGTCTTCCCTGTCTGTTCCTCGTATAGCGGAGAAAGACCGGGATGCGCCGGCGGTCTCTGGGAAATCGACATCGTTTCGTGTTTATCGAATATTGCGGATTCCGGGAGATGAATACATCTCGAGTTGCCTATGACCCTTGCGCAATAAATATTCTATGGCATTGAAGTCTTTCTTGCTGAGGGAGAGGTGTTTTTGGAATTCGGTCCTAACTGGTGTGAGCGCGTTTGAACAGACCGCAGTCGGTGATAGGCGAAGATGCAATCAGACCGCCGAAAAGAGGCATACCGAGCGTAAGCTTTAAAATTGCCCCTGGTCTCCTGTTGCAAGCGATATACGATTAGTCAATGCATGGGGATCGTCAAATACAAGGTCAGGGCGTACAGCGGGCTTCTTCCGGATTTCCCTCAGGCATTTCCGATAGAGAGAAAGAACCTCTCGCTGGAGGCCGGACAATCGAGCCATGAGCAATGTGCTTCCGGTGTCCAAGAGAAGAAAGGCTAAGCGGCGTATGGATGCATGTAGCTAGTAGGTACAATCATAGCTTGGACGGAGCTCGAATACTCCTCGGGCTTTCGAGGTTAGTCAGCCCCCGAGGCTCCGACCATCCCCGGGCTGTGTGTGGGGGAAGGAGATACTCCGTCAGCTCCTTTCCGGCCGAAAGGGGGGTGATAAGGTAGTATAGATATCTCACTTTCCTCGGGGTCGTTATTCTTATCCTTTTGCATATATTCGACCCTCGGTACCTGTTGGAATCGACATTGTGACCGAATATACAGCCAAACCATGTCTGCATTCTCTGTGAGTCCTAGAGTCCTAAGCACGTCATAGACAAATATATCACGACGCATACTCTCTGATATACTGAAAATTTTCCGGCTTCAGCTTACCTTTTCGTCTCGCGTGCAGCGTCTCGTCCGGTTCCTGGCCAAGGACGGTCATGTCTACTATGGAGATGCAATTCTTCCCACAGGCATTAGCGATATCGCTAGAGCCACTAGAGCCCATGTAATCCAAGGAGATATATTTGGCCAGCATCGTGTCACGGACCAAGTGGCTGAGATCAAGACTCTGCTCGCTCCCTTGGCAAGAAAAGACATCGGCACTGTCCGCTGTCTCGGCCTCAACTATGAACAACATGCCAAAGAATCCAGTCTCCCGATCCCCAAGTATCCGGTCCTTTTCTACAAGCCCGTCACGGCCATCACTGGTCCAACTGATGAGATCCCTGTCTCGCTTATGGCCCAGGAAGGCGAGGGTCTGGACTATGAATGTGAATTGGTCATTGTGATGGGCAAGGAAGCCAAAAACGTCCCGGAGGGACAGGCCCTCGACTACGTGCTTGGCTATGCTGTCGGAAATGATGTCTCCCACCGCGATTGGCAAATCAAGAGGGGTGGAGGTCAATGGGGGCTAGGCAAGGGCTTCGATGGATGGGCTCCCCTGGGCCCGGGCATCGTGTCCTCGAGACTGATCCGTGACCCTAACGCCCTACACATATCCACCAAGCTCAATGGCCAGACCGTGCAATCATCCTCGACCAAGGACATGATCTTCAACGTTGCTAAGACGGTCTCCTTCCTATCCCAGGGTACCACCTTGTTGCCTGGTGATTTGATCTTTACCGGAACGTGAGTCCACCCTGTGTATGTTATGCCCAATGCTGGATATGTGCTGATTTTGTCTGCAGACCCCAAGGAGTGGGAATGGGCCGGAAGCCTGCACTGTGGCTGAAGGATGGTGATCAGGTCGAGGTATCGCTGGAAGGCGTAGGCTCATGTGTGAACAAGATCGTCTTCGAAAAGCCGTCCTCGAAGCTCTAGATGAACGAGTCATGTAGATATTTCCGTCGATGAAATGGCATGTAAATAGTAACCTCCTCATGTTCGATCCCAGAGGATACGGATCTTAGTAAGTGTCATATCGATAAAGCGACTCTTATGAAACATGAATTGTATCTCTCTGTTAAGGAAAATCGTGCAACAAAACCAAACACTTAGACAGTCTGAGCCCCATATCCCTTGATGGATTCCGCGAAAGCCCAGCTCTGAGCTTCCAGCCGCTGATCCTCATGCATCTCAATTCCCCCCTCGGTTATGATAGCTAACGAGTACTTGTCAAGACTCCGCGCATCTCTGTACCAGAGAACCTTCAGGCATTCCCGCAAGGCCGCCACTGCCTCCTCTTTGGTGATTTGCTCGACGGGTCTCTCCTCCGGGAAGAGGCGACGGAGGATGGGGATGGCCAGGTGGGCGCCGAAGCCGGTCGCGAGATGGGGAGCGGAATATGTGGTTCCGAGGAGGTCAGCAGAGCTCAAGAACGGCTTCTTGTCGCCGTCAAAACCGACGACGAGGAGGTGGTTCCAGAGCGGGTTGAACTCCGAACGACGCTTGTATAGCACCTTCGACAGGTAGGTGTGGAGGTTCTTCGCGTTGAGCATGTTGCCGTGGGAGGAGTAGTTCTCGCGGATATCAATCGATTGCAGCAGACGGTCGATGTACTGCATGTCGGACACGTCGCCGCTGAACCCGACAATGGCCGAGTCGCTGAACACGCGGAGGCGTTTCACATCGGTGAAGCGAGCGAGGGATCCGTATGATGCTGCAGCGATGAATTCACGTTAGAGACCAGTTTCCACCTGTGCGGATCGTCCACGACGTACCCAGGTTATCGGCCGCAATCGCGACTCCGCCGTTGAACTTGACGGCTATTACGGACGTTCCCGTCACAGCCGGAGACTGAGTGTGGGCTTTTGGGCCAGTCGTCTGAAGGTATGAGGCGTTGTAGGGTCCGTAGACATCATCTCTGGGCTGGAACAGATGGTTAGGAGATACGACAGGCTCATCGAATGCCGTGGCTGACTTACCCGACCCCAGGCTTCGGGGAAGTGGTTCATTGTGGTGAGAAGAGGGGGTAGATTTGGAGGATGAGGCGGGCTTTGAGGTAGTATTGGAAGAAAAGTAGAAAGTTGGGTAAAAGGACAGCGGAATGGGTGGACGTAGGAGATGGTGATGATGGATGATGCAGGCTGGGCAAGCTAAGGCGGTCGGGACCTCTAGGCAGTACAGCTGACGGAGCTCTCGTTACGTTAGCAACCCAGCTTTGTTGGAGCTTTGCTGAGCATTCACATTGCAGGTTAAAACGAGCATCACTTTCTGTTGTCTATATTTTAGTTGAAACATGTCGACTATTAACTCGCGTTAATATTTCTTGATTGTCACCAACCATCCGTGGATGAAGCTCAGGCGGCCAATGGTGCGCAATAATTAGTTGGATCTAAACCACGCAGCTCTGGCTTGTACATCAGCCATTCGTACTATATACAGTTCTCACTCTATATTGTCGCCTTGCTACAGACGGTACGCCAAGAAGGGCGTTGATATTGTCCGAATTATATTATGAGTTCCGACCGTCATTTTGGCCTCGTCTTAGAAACTGGTTTGGACTCTGTCCGAGTCGCATCAGGCGTAGCGGCCACAAAATCGATCGTATCTCTTTGGCCAGCAAGTTTCTGCTCTTCTGTTTTATATTGAAGCTCCTTCTGGGCCTTCAATAATTCCTCCTTATATCCCCATGTGGGCAGCCTCGTAACATCCCACACTTCAAGCGGCAGCGACGTGGAATATTGCGCCTGATCGTCAATTTCCGCATGCTCCATGAGCTTCTGCAGCAAGCTGGGATTTCGGAGTGACGACGAGCTAGCTAGCTTCTCATTGAAGTGGACATTCTGCTTTTTAAGCGATAGGAAGTGGGCAAACTTGGCATTTGCCGCTGGGTTGGGCGAGCCCGGTGGCGAGGGTGGAATGTCTAGGTTCGGGACTGGAGGGAGAGTCAAATCCTGTATTAACGCGCGAGATGTCGAGAAAGGAGAAGAATCCCGGGCTGGGGCTGGTTTTGAAGGTTGGGGATCGTTATGCGATGGTCCGAGGACAGGTCCGGTAGGCTCTGGGATGGGTCGCGTATCTTTAGGCTCTGGTTCATGAACTGTTGATGATACTAGGAAGGGCATTAGATAGAGATATTTGTCAATGATGCGGAGGGCTTACCTGGGATTGTTGCCGTCACAGGCTCCGGTTGCTGTACATTCGTATCATTCTAGATAGCTATTAGCCCTGAGATGAGGAAGTAGCTGATTTCAAGTACATACCTTGGGCGAAGCCTGGCGCTGCTCAGGCTCTTCGTCACTGCTTTCATATGCGCCGAGGCCCAACATTGTGGTAGTCTTGATATCGTTTCGTATGCAGTTGTGGTATTCAGTTGGCTCGAAGATGCCTTTCGAGGCCGCGCACCATGGAAGTGGACCACCGGGAAATGGTTCGGAAAGGAACAAGCGACAACCCTCAAAAACCAGATTATGAGACTGGAAACATAAGCTAGATGTCGATACTGGACAATGTACTGTATTCTTCCTAGAGGTTCGGTCCGCGACAGTCGGCGGATGGATTAGATAAGCAAGGCAGCTGCAGCCCGCGTCAGAGCTCAGCAGACAACGGTAGCTCCGACATCTACAGTTCTCTCCCCAGCCAACATCCCTCCCTTCAGAGACCACCCTTCTTTCTTGAATTGAAACTCTACATCCTGCCATCTTTTCCCGATACCCCTCTGAACCATCTCCAAACCAAGTTGTCCGACAAACGATGATGTCTTTCATGGGCCAGCAGCCTCAGAGCGAGGCCGTCGGATACTCCTTCTCTCAACCGACCAATGCCCCACACAAGGAACACTCTTTCTATCCGTACGTTCGATGATCGGTGAAACTAGCATGCTAGAGTCGCTCTAACTGTCATGACAGCTACACGGACAACGGCGGTTCCACGCTCGGCATCACCGGTGCCGATTTCGCTATCCTTGCTGGTGACACTCGCTCTGTTGCAGGATATAACATCAATACTCGATACGACCCGAAGGTTTTCAAGATCGGTGGTGATGATGAGACTGGTGAGGGAGCCCAAATTCTCTTGTCGGTTGTCGGATTCGCGGCGGATGGTCACGCACTCAAGGAACGACTAGACGCCGTGGTCAAGATGTACAAGTACCAGCATGGCAAGCCCATGTCTGTCACTGCATGCGCCCAGCGGTTGTCGACCATCCTTTACCAGAAGCGGTTCTTCCCATACTACGTGCACGCCATCCTGGCTGGTCTGGACGAGGACGGCAAGGGTGCTCTGTACAGCTACGATCCCGTGGGCTCATACGAGAGAGAACAATGCAGGGCGGCCGGCTCTGCGGCAAGCTTGATCATGCCGTTCTTGGACAACCAGGTCAATTTCAAGAATCAATACATCCCCGGCAGTGGCGAAGGCCATGCTCTCGAGCCCAAGAAGCCTGAGCCCTTGCCGCGGGCGACGGTTGAGCGGCTGGTGCGGGATGCGTTCACGAGCGCTGTGGAAAGACACATTGAGGTCGGAGACGGCCTTCAGATGATGGTGATTACGCGGGATGGGATAGAAGAGATCTACACCCCTCTGAAGAAGGACTAAGGTCGGCTTTCCGGGTTTTACGAGTATCTAATCAAGTTCATTTTCGTCATGTTTCCCTCTGGGTATGGTAGCATGCATCCATAAAGACCTAGCACAAAACACTTTTGTCGTCACGTCAAGTGTGTATATCCAAAGCGCTCATCACCACAACCATTAACGCCGAGCGAGACCAAGAGATAAGAAAATCAACAGGCAGGTTTATGTGTAGATTAGAAGCGTTCCTTCATCCGGCTTGACACCTTGCGCAAGTTTCCATATACCTTGCCCTAGTTTGAATGAGTTGTTGGTCTTTGTGGAGTTCGTATGGTATGGTTTCACTTACAGGAGGACTTCCCAGGATAAGGCTCACAATAGCCTCTTGAGCGGCAAGAATATTCCGATAACCACCGAGCAAATGAATCTTCTGGTCCGCAAGAACGATTCGGGTCCGGCTGGCATTCTCGATCGAATGCTTCAGTTTTCCATCTTTTCCTGCAATACGTCCAATCGCACGGCTGAGGTGCTCTCCGTGAAGCGACGCCTTGACATCCCGAATTTCAAACGATCGGATATAGAGGTCGTCCAGTCGAAGGAGAGCGATGGCATCGTCAACGTCAAAGCCAAGGGTGAAAGCCTTGACAAAGTCTTCGCCTTTCTGCAGCGCGCCCGTATCGGTGGTGAATTTCGAAGTGCGCAGCTCGACTGCTCGGTTTTTGATGTTCATCCGCACCTGGAGTTTCAGATGTTCCACAAGAGGCGGGTATATCTTGCTCCACGTGTTTTTCAAAGGAGTCATTCTATGAGGCGGGACTGGAACTTTTCTGGTTTCGACCCGGTATGCGCGGTTGGTGTCCTTCGCGGGCGTGAAAACCGGCCGACCTTCCTCATCAATGCGCATGTCGGAATCCTGAGCCGATTCCGTGACGAGGGGAATTTGGGTATTTGCCTCGGCTGACGGCTGGGCATCGATTAAAATCTCATCATCTTGATCTATGAGGTTTTAGTTAACGTTCTGGATATCAAAGCTAGAATACGCCCAACCGAACCTGCTGAGGGAGGGGCAACTGGCGGTTCAGACACCACCTGATCCTTGAGCGCCGTAGGGGCCGGCATTTTTCCTGGAATATATGGCGAGAAGCCTCTGATCGACGGATAATGTCAGAGGAACGGGGTGCGAGATTTCCCCGTGAGAGAATTCTTCGGAGATGCGACGATTTTGATGGTGGACGATGTGCGGGAAGAGGATTGCCCAAAGTGTGAAATCCTAAATTTTTGTTGCAAACAAGACAAACAGCTCACTCTAATCAGCGGGATGATTTCATGGAAATTTGCTCAAGAACCAGGAAACGCTCCGACCTCTTCGTCGTTCGCCCTAATATCTCACCACTCCCTTACATCCCTCTGCTGCCTGTCTCCGATCTTGATACCAGATGGGATTTGGGCTATTTTCCAGCCGACCTTGACTTCTCTCCCGCAATATTAGACAGCATGTGACGACAACCATGGCTGGCAATTTTGGACGCAGACTGTACACCAATCTTTGGGAAGCAGCAAATCCCTTCTTCGGACGGGGCATCAAGACGAGTCGCGTCCACCCCTTCAGCGAGCATATCAGTTCCGGAAGTTTCGTTCATGATTTTCTTTTCAAGCAAAATGCCCGAAAATTCTCTTCTCAACCCACGCGGAGAACACAAATCACCCGACGCTTTGCTTCCGGCGGTTTTATCGTCATCGGAGCCTCTCCAAACTCAGCTGCGGTAGAAACTGGCACCACCTGTGCTATTTCGCCAGAGAAAATCCTCACGCACAGGAGCTATGCGTTCGACAGATATCTTTTCCCTGGAATTCCGCGCAACGCGTTCCAGCGGCGCTTCCATACGAGCACGAGCCATAAAGATTACCACCCAAATAACGAGATATCAAAGGATTCTATAAAAAGCGAAAACGATAGACGCGCCTCAAACGAGGCACAAAAATCGACCGAGGGAAAAAGGGTTGAAAATGAAGCCACCTACTCGGATCTGAAACAAAACACACACGAGCAATACCGTGTTGGAGGATCGAATCGCCACCTAATGGACCGTTTGCCTCACATGCCTCACCTACACCGTCCGAGCAAAGAAGAGTTACTCGCTGCGGCTAGCGGGTTCTGGTCACGGCTGAAAGTGCGGTTCAAGTGGTTTTCCATTCGAAGCGTTCGTCCCTTCAACTTTGACGAGATAAGCGCCCTCTTTTCATGGGTACTGTTGGGCCATGTCGTCTGGGTGGTGTTGGGAACCACGACGTTCTTTTCGCTGCTGATCATCGCCATTAACACTGTTTTTGCTCAAGGTACGTCTGGTTTCGTCTCGTGATTACTGCGCACTGCTAAGCTTGCAGAAACCCTGGCTGGATGGGTCGGTAACTACCTGACAAGATCATCCGGGGTACAGGTTGTCTTTGAATCGGCTATTGTTCCCAAGTGGAAAGACGGTGTTATCACCTTCAAAAACGTATTTGTTTCTCGGCGACCGGGCCAGGGCACCGGTCACGTCAGTAAAGGTTCATCCAAGACTGCCGCTGCTGTAGCCGCCGCCGCCGCATTGCACGGGCAGCCGAGCCCTGAGATATCCGAACAACGCATCATTGCCGAGGATGAGGATACAAACTACACCCAGTTCGACGTATCAATCGAAACGGTCAACGTTACTTTGTCTTTTACAAAATGGATCAACGGAAAAGGACCGCTTCGGGACGTGGAAGTGAAAGGAATCCGCGGAGTAGTTGACCGTCGATACGTCCACTGGTCGGATGATGATCTGGATCCGAAGTCCTACCGGCATGAGCATCACCCTGGAGACTTTGAAATTGACTCCTTCAAAATGCACGACGTTCTGGTGACTGTCTACCAACCGGACAACTTCCGGCCGTTCTCTGTCAGCATATTCTCCTGCGACCTTCCCCAGCTGCGAAAGCAATGGTTGTTGTATGACTTCATGTCTGCCAATATGATGTCTGGGTCGTTTGATAACTCCTTGTTCACGATTCATCCTCGGCAGACGCATAGCTTCACCGGTGCACAGCTCGACGGTGGGCTTGAAGAGGATGGGAAGCCAAGTCCGTGGAAGAAGCATAGCCGGATACGGATTGATGGTCTCAACATCGACCATCTGAACCGTGGTGTACAGGGTCCCTTTTCCTGGATCCACGAGGGAACCGTCGACATTGTGGCTGACATCATGTTTCCGGCGGAAAACGACGAAAGTCTGACGAAAGTTATGGCTGATCTGTATGACCGCCTCGAAGCGACCGTCACTTCCAATCGTTATCACGAGTCGACGTCCGAGCATCCGGCAGGGTCTCATGAGGCTACTGTCGGCGACGAAGATCGACGTTTCTTGGTCACCGATCTTCGACTACAGATGAACAACGTGCGAGCAGTTGTGCCACTGTTCACACGAGACCTTTCGTACATAAATAATGCGCTGATTCGGCCCATTGTTGCATATATCAATTCCCGCCGAACATTCATTCCGGTCAATTGCCGCCTCGTCAAGCGCGTTGGAGACTTTGACGGAAGCTGGACCACTTTTGACAGCGGGCTGATGGACGATCTCTCGGCAGCGGTAAGTTGACCTGTCCCTCTGGATTTGGTGACTCCTCTTCTAACCCCGTATTCAGGTATACGATGCCTTTGCACGGGATGTCGTGGACGAGCAAGCCCGCAAACGTCGGTTCAAAAAGGTCGGCTTCTGGTCCCTTCAGCTTGCTGCGCAGGCCATCTTCATGGGGATGGCGGGCAATATTGCGTGAGTTGTAGTTTTAGCCTGTAAGATTGCTGTGGCGTTGTGTTGGGTTGCCTCGTGGGATGATTCTTCTTAACTGAAAGGGAAATTGGCGTTGTGGGGTTCACGGGTGTTTGCAATTCAGCGACAATAGAGGTTCTTTCACGAGTATCATTGTATAGGTATATAGTTAGTTTACGACCCTCCCTCCTTCTCTCGAACAAGCCCGACTATTCCTAGATGATTCGGAAATCACCTAGATTGTACTTGTCCTCTCCTGTCTATATTATACTACCTATATATTATCATCAGGGCTGTACTCTGTACGGGAGTACATAGATAACCGACCCGCCAAGCGATGGCTCGGAGGATTCATGCAGCGAGTGGAGGTACTTTTTTTTCCTCTCCGACAACACACGGTTCGACTGACGGTCCCACCTTTACGGAGTAGACTCAAGGGAGGAACCATGGTGAATGGTGATTTCCCCGAGCCATCCCTTCTTCGTCTTAGGATCTTCATTATAGCTGACGGTTGCAGATTCGGATCATCGCAGCTTAAGGTCGTTAGTAGTTAGTTAGAGACCATCAGCTAACTAACCAACTAGTCGTCTGCCCTGTTTGGCCGTTGCTCCCCTCCCCCTTTTCCTTGTTTCTCCCCACTTTTCCTTCTTGAAATTATTACCTGCTTCCTGTCATTCTTGCAATTTTTTCCCTATCAAAATTTGCTGCGGTACATACATTCTTCTTTGGATTATTGAACTATATGCACTAGTCGGGCCCCGGACAAGAAAGCAAAAAGAATCGCCCCATATATCTACGGAGTGTCACATATGACATCGGTACTTCGACGTTCTCGGCATCCTTCATTTAATTGCGTGTATATTAATATCCTCCTCCCTGTCCTATAGGTGCCCGGCGCCAACTCGTGAACCGTCCGGGTCTAGCGTCGACTCGTCGTTTGGGGTTCAGCACCTCCCCTGGGGGTGCTTTGGTGCCAAACTCCTACCTAATCAAGCCATGTCGCAGCAGCTTCGGCGACAGGGTACCGACCATCATCACCACTACAACAACAACAACTACAACTTCGCCAACCAACTCTCATCCGGCCCTGTCTCTCCGTTTCCCCCTTCATCTCGATATCCAACCTCGGCTCAATCGTCACGGACGGCGCCTGATCCCACCCCCCGTGATTATCTGCCAGCCAGATCCGACGGGCAGTCCTTGTCTTACAGCCGCAGCAGCGCGTCTCCCCGCAACCCGATCCCCTTCCCCCTGCATACAAACTCGCAGCCTCACCCTTCCTCTCGTGCCGAATCGAGCTCTTCACAGAGTCCGCAGTCGCCGAGATCGTTGGCGTATCCGTCCACGCCCCAGAGTCGTCCTACCATCAGCCGGGTAGCTCATGCGGCGTTCCCGGCCCCTCCGTCCAGTATCACCCCAAGCTCGACAAGCACAACGACGGGCCCGAGACCTTTTGCTGCCCCGAATCAGAATGATAGAGACATGACCGAACGATCGCTTGACAACGTGTCGCGCCAGACTCCTTGCACAACCGATTCGAATCAATCAGCAACTTCATCCCCCGTCTCGCCCGGTCATTCGTCCCAGCAAATGTCGAGGGAACGCCCGGGGCAGCGCACGATGCCCCGCACATCGTCCATTGATTCTGCCATATCCTCCCTCTCTTCGGCGTCGCAGTCGCATAAATCGTCGTTCGACGCCAGTGCCGTCACCCAGGCGGATATCGATAACCTGGTCGCCACGGCTGGGTCTCCGGAGGCGGTAATCATACATCTCTTGAAGGAAAAACATCATGCTGCCTCCCAGAATACCCAGCTGTGGAGGCTGGTGGATAAGCAGCGGACCCTGATCCTCGGCCTGAATAAAGATCTAGAGCGGGCCCTGAAGGAAAAGGAGCGGTATAAGAAAAAGGCTAAAGATCTGCAGAACGCAGTGCCTCCGTTACCACCAATGCAGGAGCATGCGCAGCACGGTGCTTCTGCCAGTGTCAGTAGCACAGCTAACAGTCAAGGATCGACAAGTCAACGGCAGCCGCATAATGCACCTTCGTCCAATGTCGTGAGCCTGCAAAATCCCACCGAAGCCGACTGGGCTAGTAATCCTGACAAGGAGCGTTCTATTCTGGTCGAGAATGAACCCAACCAGCGCGTCGACCCGCAGGCCGCCCAATCGTTGGCGTATTCACGTCAAGAACTTTCTACGGCAAGTCCAACTTCGCTGGCCAGCTCCAGCTCCCCTACGGGTGACCGCATCACAGGTGAAAACCGACAGGAAGGCATCCCGCATCCTATTCGGAAAGCACCTCCTGCACCACTGAACCTAGAACCAAGAGAGCGAAGGGCTGTCGAAAAGGCCATTGATGACGATTCGGAATCCGAGTACGAGGACATTTTGGAGGTGGATGAACTACCGCGCGGGCGACGGAAAACGCGGGACGACGATGATCGGGAGCGGGAATCCGCACTGGCAAAAGAACAGGGCAACGAGGGCCTCCCGTTACTGAATATTCCCGGCAATGTTGGTGCCAATGCTTATGGCCCAAGCAATTCGGGCCCACAAGCAGAGTTTCTGGCATCCTCGATGAGCCCTCGGGTGCCGCAGGGCCCATCTATGAACGGCCAGTCGATTTCAAAAGCACCGAAGAGCCCTGGACTACCTCTCAGCCCACGCCCAGAAGACCGTCCTATAGGCTCCCCACTACCCCGGATGCCCCGAGACATTCCGCAGAGTTTGTCCTCCATGCCAACATCTTCAGGGAATAACCTTGCGGGATTGGCGCTCACGCCCCGTGTTGGAACTTACCCCAACACTTATGCGGGTGCGAGTTCTCAGCAGCCTGGCGCCATCGATGCTGCCATACGCCCCATACCTTCTATCGATGCAGCCGTCAAGGTCGATAGTCCCCAGTCCCCGGGGTTCGCCATCTATCAAGGATTGGTATCGGATGAATACCCCACCCTCCTTCTACCTCCCAATGCGCTACCTTTGATTCAAGTGAAGGTGTCTTCCTCACGGTTACGTCCTTCTAGAAACAGCTACAATGCGTCTCGACCGTTAGAAGAGGAGCCCGTCTTTACGCTGAGTGTCTTTTCGCGGTCCGATAACAAGGAGCTTTGGCGTGTGGAGAAAGTCATCGCCGCTCTCCCACAACTTGATCAGCAGCTGAGACAGTTTTCTGTTGCCCACATGAAACTTCCGGACCGGTCCATATTCAGCGGTCATTCACCAGCAAAGATCGATGCCAGGCGCGCGGCCCTCAACGCCTATTTTGAATCTCTTCTTGACACGCCCATGGACGAGAGGGCAGCTTTGGTCATCTGTCAATTTCTGACATCTGACGCCATTGAAGCCCGGGACGATGAGACGAGTTTGCTGAAGGGCAACAATCATAGTACCATTGAAATGTTGCGTGGTCCTGATGGGAAGCCCAGGAAGGAAGGCTACCTGACAAAACGAGGGAAGAATTTCGGGGGTTGGAAGGCCCGTTACTTCGTATTGCACGGTCCTGAGTTGAAGTATTTCGAGTCACCTGGTGGTGCCCACCTTGGAACTATCAAGATCTACAACGCTCAGATCGGGAAACAGTCCCAAGCCACTAATGATTCGCCGTCGCGTTCTGAAGATGACTCCGAAAACCAATATCGCCATGCTTTCCTCATCTTGGAGCCTAAGAAGAAGGACTCATCTGCTCTTGTTCGCCACGTACTATGCGCTGAGAGTGACGAAGAAAGAGACGCATGGGTCGAAGCTCTGTTGGAGTATGTCGAGGGTCAGTCAGAGAATGAAGGGCAGGGTAGTGGATCTTCCATGAGAGGCCAGCAGCAGCCTTCCGCAAAGCCATATTCTGCGACGAACCCCAAGTCCAAGGGGTCCGCCAACGGAAGCAAGAATGGCGGCAAGGCAACTGAGAACCCAAGCCCGGATGGCCCGGGCACAGTACAAGGATTCAGTTTCGATGACGCTGTTCCTGCAGAGCCTCCAGTGTTTGGTCCATCTCCTGACCAACAAGGGCCGAAGTCCCCAGTGATGCCTTCGGGCACCTTTTTTGATGCTTCCGATGCCATGCAAGGGGACCAGGGACAGCTCTCGTCCAAGGTCATATCCGGCCCCACCAACGGCGCAGTAATCCAGGATGCGGGCGCCTGGGGCAACAAAGCAGCTACTAGCACAAAGGAGAAGAAACGCAGCATCTGGGGTTTCCGTACACGGTCGTCTTATGATCTTGCGTCGCAGCTTCAAGCGAGCAATGACACACCTATGACTCCGTCCCAGAGCACCTTTGGGGAAAGAAGAGACTTTGTCAGGCCAGTTTTTGGCATTCCCTTGGCAGAAGCAGTACAATTCTGTCCGCCACAAGGCATCGGTGTTGATACTGAGCTTCCGGCTGTGGTTTATCGCTGTATAGAATACTTGAAGGCGAAGGGTGCCGAATCAGAAGAAGGTATATTCCGCTTGAGTGGGTCGAACGTCGTCGTCAAAGCTTTGAAGGAACGTTTCAATACTGAAGGCGATGTGGACTTCCTTTCCGACGAACAATACTACGACGTGCATGCCGTTGCATCTCTTTTCAAGCAGTACCTTCGAGAGTTGCCGACGAGCGTTCTCACTCGTGAACTCCATATTGAATTCCTGCGTGTTCTGGGTGAGTACATTCCCGGGAAGTTCTTTATTAATACTAATTTTCAATATAGAACTCACTGAAAAGGAAAAGAAGATCGTCGCATTCAATGCTCTTGTTCATAGGCTCCCCAAGACGAACTTGGCCTTGCTGCGGGCGTTGGTGCAATTCTTGATCATCATTGTTAGCAATTCCGATGTCAACAAAATGACCGTCCGAAATGTTGGCATCGTTTTTGCGCCCACGTTGAACATCCCAGCTCCGGTTTTCTCCTTGTTCCTCACAGAGTTTGAGAGCATTTTCGAGCATTCGCCATACTCCAATCCCAATGTGGAGCTGGTGGTCCCTCAGTCTATGTCCCCAGAGGATATCCGTTCGCCTCGTCACCAAATGTTCTCGGACATACCCACGCCTGCAGACAGTACCTTCCGCCGGAACGGTGACCCCCGCGATGAAATCCCTACTCGTCACGATACGGGCTTTATCCCGATGCAGCCTAGCTATGAGCAGTCTATGGATCGCTATGCCCAAGACTCGGGGATGTTGATGCCGAATCCAGACTCACGCTCGGCGAAGGCAAAGAGAAGGGAAAGCTCGCTCCTATTTATGGATATGAATCAGACGCCACCCGGCACTCTGTCTGGCGGTCATGGTAAGTGCTCTCCCGCCGGTATTGACGTTTTCCCTGTTTTCCTGATTAGACATTCTAGATTAAAATATGGAGTGCGACTCGTCCCTCGGAGCCCTTCTGTACCTCCTCAGCTATTTCAGTCATTTGCTCTATATCCACGGCTCCTTCATGATCAACATCCATTATGATTTGAACGAACACGCAATGACGACTACAAAGATGGCTATATCAGCCACAACACCAGGAGTCTAATGTTAATGGTAATCCGATGTTGAAATTATCGTCTGTTTTATAATGCTGGCCATGTCTCCTTTTTCTCTCTTTTTCCTTCATCTTTTGCTTTGTTAGTGTTTTCCGCGAATACCACTGTTTCATATCAGATCATGTCATGCAGATTAGGAGATACATAACTTGATACGTCTTTCATTAGTGCCTGCAGAGCAAATCATTCTGGCCCACATAACAACTACTAATAAGTTAGGAAAGGCGTACACGGGTCGCTGATATCGACAACGTAAGAATGATTGAAACATAATACATACATCACAGAAAGAAGATAAGATTCATATACATCACTTAGAACCGTTTCGAGCGTTCACCCCTCCAAAACCCCATCAGCTCCCCATTCTCCCTCACAAACTCCCTTACCCCATCCACCAACGCTTTCGCCATGCCCTTGTTCTTCATCTTCCCATCCGACGCCAGTCCCGCGGGCCCCAGTCCCGCGCTGGACACCCGCTCGCCCGTCGCATACTCCGACCCCATCGTAGGCAGCACATTATCGCCCGCACTCAGACTCACAAACAACGCAAACGGCACAAGCCACACACACAGCCCAAAATACGACGCCACCTCCGTGAAGGTCGGCATGTCCTCGACGCTGACGGCGTACGGCTGCCGCCAGCTGCCGCCGCCGCGCGGCGCCAGCGGCAGCGGCCGCGAGAAGTGCCGGAACCAGAGCCAGTGGTTCAGGCCGACCAGCACGCAGGAGAGGATGAAGAGCGGATCGGAGAGTTTGACAATCGGGAAGCGCCGCAGGTTGCTGGCGTAGACGAGGTGCGAGATTATGCTGAGCAGCGAGAGGGACAGCGGGAAGCGGTCAATTAGGCAGAGGAGGATCTGGATGCTGATTATGCCGTAGATGAGGCGGGTGAGCAGGCGGCGGGCGAGCACGGTGTGTTCTTCTACGAGCTCGGAGAGGTAGTAGAGGCCCGATGCTGGGGACGGTTTAGTATGGGTCTGTTCGCACGGGTTTGGGGATGGGCGTACCTATGGCAAGGGTGAGGAAGGAGAATCCGACTATCACACCTAGATAGCCCAGTAAGGGTAGTATCCACATGGTGGGAGCTGCGCTGAGGCCGTGGTAGTAGGTATGATGGTGTAGCGAGTAGTGGCGGATATGGAGGTTCCTCGGCAATTGAGATATCTTCACCCGGGGATAGAACGGTGGTAGGGAAGCTGGGTCCGGTCAAAACACGGGTGTCAAGCAGCGAGGTATCCGACAAGTGATTGCAGAGGACATTAGTAGCTGGCTGTATTCGGGAACTGTTTTGGGTGAGCTGTCGCTTCCGGAGTTTACGCCTCAGGCACGAGGGCCCACCGCCCCGCATCTCATAGTTTAATCCCGGCAAAAAAATCATCGACTCTGGCTGAGCGGTGTATACATACACTTCATCTCCATACCCTCATTCTTTACTTCTGCACTCATATACCAACCGCAACCATGTCGCGCCCCGAAGATGTCCTGTAAGTTCCCTGCGCCCGTTGGACGAAACAAACCCTAACAACAACAGCCCCCCGGACCTCTTCTACGATGACAGCGAATCGCGCAAATACACCACCTCCTCGCGAATCCGCAACATCCAGTCGGACATGACGAACCGAGCCCTCGACCTCCTCGACCTCAAATCGCCCTCTCTCATCCTAGACATTGGCTGCGGCTCCGGCCTGTCGGGCGAGATCCTGTCGCAAGTACCGCCCGAGCAGGGCGGGCCGCACGTGTGGTTCGGGATGGACATCTCGCCGAGCATGCTGGACGTGGCGCTGCAGCGCGGCGTGGACGGCGATCTGTTCCTCGCGGACATCGGGCAGGGCGTGCCGTTCCGGCCCGGCACGTTCGACGCCGCCATCAGCATCAGCGCGATCCAGTGGCTCTGCAACGCGGAGACGAGCGACGTCAGCCCCGAGGGCCGGCTGCGACGGTTTTTCGAGGGGCTGTATGCGAGCCTCAAGCGGGGCGGTCGCGCGGTGTGCCAGTTCTATCCCAAGAATGATGCGCAGCGGAGTATGATCAGCGGGGCGGCGATGCGCGCCGGCTTCGGTGCGGGTATCCTTGAGGATGACCCCGGCACGAAGAACAGCAAGCTCTATCTCGTCCTCACGGTGGGCGGCGGCGGTCTGCAGGGTGATATCACCGGCGTGGTGCAGGGTATGGATGATGTGGATGTGCTGGATGCCCGGAGGAAAGCCATGGCCCAGGGCAAGGCCGCGTCGGCCCGAAAAGGCGACAAGGCGTGGATCATGCGGAAAAAGGAACAGATGGCCAAGAAGGGCAAGGTGGTCAAAGCAAACTCCAAGTACACCGGCAGAAAGCGGCGGGTTGCTTTTTAAGCCGTTTGGAGCGACGTTTCATATTGAATATCCTCTCAGAAGACGCCCCGGACGACTGTCATCATGCACCCTCCCTACACCCGTTGTTCTGACTGCCGTGTTGGAACCAGCCAAGCGAGAGGGCTCTCGTCCGGTTTTGGTCTCTTTGCTTGCACCCCATGGAGTGATGCTTATACCCCCACGACTACGATGTCAGACCTCACTCCACAACGCAGCTACCGCTCGGCGCAATTCGTCGTCGGACTGCCATTCATGTTGTATGACGTAACGGACAATAAAATATCAGGCGCGTTCAAGGCAATATAGATACATTTCTATTTCCAAGCAATAGTATATAATTTTACACGTCTCTACCCACAGACTTGCCTGGCCTTCCATTGTAGACCTTGGTGACTGATAGGTTTAAGATGGTGCATCAGAAACATACAAATGGCAACGCGGTCCATCAACAAAAGATCTTGCTAGCTCCCTAAGCTCTCGTCATCATGATAGTGGTATTTAAGAATGGTCGCTGGAGAATTTACAGAGCAGCCTCCATCTTGTCGAGGACGGCTCTGGTGAACTCGTGAGTGGTGGCCACGCCACCCATGTCGCGAGTCCGCGTTTTGCTAGACGTCTGTCAGTTCTGGCTCTACATTCGGAATGATAAACTACTCACCCTTCACCAATAACGTCGTAGACAGCCTTCGAGATGCGGTTCGCGTGGTCATCCAGACCGAGGTGACGGAGAAGCATAGAGCCGGAGAGGATCATGGCACTGGGGTTGGCCTGGTCCTTGCCCTTGATATCCAGACCAACGTGACGGCAGCCAGGCTCGAACACAGCGACATCGCGACCCATGTTGCAGCCAGGCACAACACCGGGACCACCAACGAGGGCAGAGCCGATGTTGGACAGGATGCCACCGTACAGGTTAGGCATGACCATGACATCGAACTGCTGGGGGCGAGAGACAGCCTGCATGGAGGCGTTGTCGACAATCATATCGTTCACTTCCAGAGTGGGATAGTTCTCGGCAACCTTGTGGAAGGTGCTGCGGAAGAGACCGTCGGCCAGCTTCATGATATTGGCCTTGTGAATGCAGGTAACCTTCTTTCTGTTGTTGGCCAGGGCGAAGCCAAATGCAAACTTGGCAATGCGCTCCGACTTGGCGCGGGTGATGATCTTGAGGGACTCGACGACTCCCTGCACGGACTGGTGCTCCAGACCGGAGTACTCTCCCTCGGTGTTCTCACGGATGATGCAGAGGTCGACGTCCTTGTGGCGGGTCTCGTATCCGGGGATGTTCTTGATGAGAACAATGGAGGCGAAGATATCGAGTTCCTGACGGAGAGCGACGTTGAAGGACTGGTGACCGGAGCGCTCGACGGGGGTGAAGAGGATACCCTTCAGACCGAGCTTGTTGCGACGGAGGGAGGCGATGGACTCCTTGAACAGCTCCTCCGAATGCTTGTTACCGGTGTCGACACCGCTGACATCGACCTGCTCCCACTCGATCGGGACATTGTCGGCCTTGAAGATGGTCTTGACTGACTCGGCGACTTCGGCACCAATTCCGTCACCTTGACGAAGGAAGTAGACATCAGTATGCAGGTCGGATCGGGCGGATTTGCCGAGGGATAGATACCTGGGATGAGGGTCACGGTGTATTTGCCGCCATACTTGGTGGGCTTGAAGATGTCGGACTGAACGGAAGCGAAAGCTATAGTTCTCCAAGTTAATAAAGGTCTGAGGGCGATCTTGCATGTTGCGGAAGGGACGGCGCACATCTAGCAGGGACCGAAGCGCGGGCGAGGGGAGTGGCCGCAGCGCGACGGAGGAAAGACTAGCGGGTTAAAAATTAGCATTGAAAGAGCAGGATAAGCCAATTGAAGGATAAAAAGGTAGGGCGATCGTATCGAGTGGACAGACGGGGGGTGGACAAAGAAGGGAAGAATTTGGTGCGGTCGGGCGGAAGGATGCAGCACGACCGCCAAGGAGACGAAAAAAAAAGAGGAAATGAAAGAAATCGTGACAAGGAGGGGGAGGCTTACTTGCGCAGGCTGCGCGGTCCGCAGGGAGAACATTTTGAGAGGAGAATTGGACCGAGAGAGAGGGCCAGACGACGGAGAGAAAGATGAGCAGGGATGGGGGAGGAGAGAACAGGAGGAGAAGAGTAGGAGGAGAGTTAGTTAGGGAGAGACGGGGACGGGAGACAGACAGCCTAACACGAGACGCCGGAAAAAACGGCGGATGCTCTCGGCATGCCAACTGGTGCGTTCTGTTGCTGCACACGGGCCGATCTTATCTCCACGTGCCCCCATATCTTTGTCTTCTACATCATCTACATCTGCATCTACATACCAGTACTCATGTAGTCCTATTCTACAGAGATAGTTGATATACTTCCACGCTTTATAGTCTACTAGGCTGTACTGCATTTTACACTGGAAAGAGTTGTATAGATCACGTTACCAACGTTATCTATCAATCAGCAGGCGATCACTCACGCTTCCAGCTATCAATAGTTCTTTGTTCTATTCACCCCACGTTCTTTCATCTGCCTTTATTGAGTCCTGAATCCGGAGTATATATCCATGGTCCCTGAACCAGCCTATTCACATCCTCCAACACTTCGATTTATCTCCAATTTCAATATGCTGTCACCCCTGTCAGAAATCACCCTGATTGGGACTAAATTGAAGCCTCCATGTCTAGTTCATTTCCCTCTCCGCATTATTTCCTCTTCGGAACCTGAATAATCCCCGGTCCATCTTCAATATGCCTTCAGTCGCTCTACTGGGCTTGGTACCCCGTGGAGAACTATATAATGGCGACGACGATCTTCAACGAGTCCTTCAGGCTACCTCTGTCCATCTTCTCTACAGACAGCCTTCAAACCAAAGCCAAACCTATCCCCCACCTCAATTATGAAGCTCATTACCCTGGTTCTTGCCACCCTGGCGGCCACCAGCTCCGTGCAGGCCGCCAAGATGCACAAGTGGTGCTGGCTCCCCGGCCAGGGCTGCTACATGCTCAAGCGGGCCGCCGATGTCACCGGCGAGGTCAAGCGCCATGCTGAGGCGCTGGCCGAGGCCATGCCCGACACCTCGCCCGACGGCATCCACAAGTGGTGCTGGCTGCCGGGCCAGGGCTGTCTCAAGGTCAAGCGTGCGGCCGATGCCGTCGACGAGGTCAAGCGTTCCGCCGATGCTCTTGCCGAGGCCATGGCGGCCATTGAGGAGCTCCACGCCGAGGAGTAAGGTATGAAGTTGATCTTCGTTTTCTTCCTTAACGTGGCAGTGGGCTAATCATCCGGTGCAGCCTGGTCGAGATTGCAATCGGGGACAAAGTGACGGACAACACCCACTTCTTTTCATTCATTAGGAAGATGCTGCTATGTGCGATTCCGATTATGTCTTGTCTTTTGATATTCGTTGAACGGATTGGGATCCGACAGGGTGAAGGTCGTTGGGGGAAACTATTGTAGTATCTGGTGTTTGGGCGAGCAAGAATATCACACGTCGATTTGTATGTAATCGGCTTAGTTCAGGTACCAGACTCTTCCGTCTGATCCAAGTGACTTCAAGACTACAGCACCCGTCGGTCCAATAACCAATCGTTACCTTCGTTACTGCATTATATCTCAGACAATGCGAAGCATACCTCTTGTTTATGCTTCACAGATCCCAATCAGACATCACGAACATTCCAGATACCATCCAACTATACTCGATGAACAACGCTAACCTCTACCCAACCCGACCCGGCCGCATAAACCCGCATCCTGGCGCACTATCCATCTCATCAATAATCCCACACTGCTGCCCAGCCAGCGCAGGCTGAGTACGCTCCCACCACCGCTGACTCTGGAACTGGTAGACAGGGTCGTGCGCCGGCTTGTACGGGAACCCGGTCGTCGGCTCACTCATGAACGGCGAGACCTTTCCCACCGACGGGTCCTGTGCCCCCGGCGCAAGCATCTCGTACCCATGGATCATGTACGGCTCCGCATACTGCTGGGCATCGTCACTGCTGTTGTCTGTGTGCATCACCCCAGACATCGACATATCGACGTCAGTCTCTCCTACAGGCGCCGACAATGTCCCAGTCATGGACGGGTTGGACGCGGGCGCTGCACAGATCTGCCACACCTGCAGCAGGCGGGACTGTTGCTCTGGGCCGGCATTCTCGAACAGCTGCAGTTGGCTTGGGGACAGCGACGCGGGGCTGATGTTGTGCCGCTGGAGGATCTCGTGGGCGGAGGGCTGGGCGCTCGGCGGGGAGACTTCCAGGGCGGTCTTGCGGGGTATGTGGGCGGAATGGTGGTAGTGCTGGGATATGCTGTACGTCACTGTCGGAGGGGCGGCTGGGGGCGCCTGCGTCCCCATGTGCATTTGCCGCGCAAACAGCGTCGCTAGGTCCTCCTGCATGTCTGGTCTGATTCTTTTTGGTCGGTCGGCTGGATGACCTGTGGTCAGAAAGCGTCTTAGGTAGAAGGGAAGAATCTACGCCAGTGGAGGGAATCTGCAGTGAAACTTTGCATTGTATTTAGGACTGTGTATGATGACAGGACATACCACGAGACAGGCGAACTATAAATTAGATCCAGACCTCAAGCAGTTAATAGTAGATGACGAAAGGTACTTGTGAAGGTGAGATGATAAGGATTTATATCAGAAATCATTATCAGAATAATCAAGAGGGACAGGCTGCCTTTTAATCAGAAAGCGAATGACCACTTCGATGCCCAAACTGTCGGCGGTTGGGCACTGCAAGCGACCAACTGGTGTTGCAACTTCACCACTTTAGCTCCCAGTTGTTCTTTGCTCTTGGAGATGTGAGAGGCAATCATCTCCGGAGTTCTGTATCTATGTGCGAAGGCAGAATATACAGCATACTTCAGCAACAACGGATCAGAGATGTCTCCAGGAACTCCCTCGTTGTCATACTATCGCAGGATAGACTGAGTGTTGAGTACCTAAGGAGTATACTCCGTATTCCCAGTAATGCAGAGTCGGTCACATGACTGATAGGCAGAACCCGTGACGCAGATGAGGTCGGCGTCCGCATCTTAGGTAAGCCCTGGAAGCTCCCAGCTCTCTTCCTCACAACAACCACCCTCCCAGCCCATCTTCGTCCCTATCTCCTCAATCGTCACCTACCCGTCTATCACTTCCTCTACTATCGACCTGGGATCGGGACAATACCATAACCTGCAATCATGGTGTGTCTCTCCCCCCAAACGCGGCTACCCCATGCTCCCCCGACGCACCGCAAGCTAACACCACCGCAAGACATCCATCGGAACCGGATACGATCTGTCCAACTCGGTCTTTTCGCCGGACGGGCGGAACTTCCAGGTAAGATGCCATTGCCTCGTGTCGGCAGACAGTTGCTGACTATCCGGGTAGGTGGAATACGCCGTCAAAGCCGTCGAGAACGGAGGCACAGCCATCGGCATCCGATGCAAGGACGGTGTGGTGCTGGCCGTCGAGAAGATCATCACGAGCAAGCTGCTGAAACCTGGCGCAAACAAGCGGATCGCCACCGTTGATCGCCATGTTGGCATTGTAAGCCCCCTTCCTCCTTCAGACCATCCCATCGTCAGAATGAACTGCATGTACTAATTGATGGCGATGTAAAGGTCTCGTCCGGTCTTGTCCCCGACGGCCGCCACTTCGTTTCCCGAGCCCGCGACGAGGCGTCGTCGTGGCGCGGTGTGTACAAGAGCCCGATCCCCGTTTCTGCGCTCTCGAATCGCCTCGGCAGCTACGTGCAGGCCTACACCCTTTATTCGAGCGTTCGACCCTTCGGTATCACTGCGATTATTGGAGGCTGGGACTCAGAAGCCGAGCTCGCTGTCGACGGCCAGGTCGGGTCGGGCCCGACGTCTGGTGCGGGTGGTAAGGTTGAGGGAGCAAAGTCGGGAGGGCCTGGTCTATACATGATCGAGCCCAGCGGGCTGTACTGGGTAGGTGACGTTCCTTCGCGTGTTTGGGCACATGCTTACGGTTTCCAGGGATACTATGGTGCTGCCACCGGAAAGGGAAGACAAGCGGCGAAGGCGGAGCTGGAGAAATTAGATCTTGCGTCTGGTTCCTTGAGTCTGACTGAAGGCGTCAAGGAGGCGGCCCGCATTATCTACGTCGCCCACGAGGACAGCAAAGACAAGGAATTCGAGCTGGAGATGTCCTGGATCAGTTCGTTAGACGGTCCGACCAAGGGCCGGCACGAGGAGGTACCCAAAGAACTGCTGGAGGAGGCCGAAAAGGCCGCCAAGAAATCACTAGAGGGTGACGACGAGGATGATGACGAGGGACCGAAGGCCGAGGGCGAGCGCATGGAGGAATAGACACGACCACGGAACCAGGGATGAGCAACATAATTTCGTTTTCTTCAAATATGGGTAAAAATTCATGTCCGACCCGTAACATCTAAATGTATTCCACCTGAACCACGCAGAGAAACAAGTAATCCAATATTAGGGTTTTCTTTCCCCCTCTCGTTTCCCTAGTTATCGCCAGGTAGGGTCCGTGCCTACGCAAGTCTACCCTCCGCCCACTCCCTCCGCTTCGAACCAAGCTCCACGGCCGCATTTCCCCAGTCCTCGCCGTGATTGTGCATGCCCTTCTTGCCGAGGCCCGCGCGCTCCAGGCCCTGTTCCTCGGTCAACACCGTCAGCACGCCAAAGATGACCGGCACGCCGGACTCGAGCTGCACACGCATGAGCCCGTGGGTGACAGCGTCGGCGATGTACTCGAAATGCATCGTTTCGCCCTTGATCAAGACGCCCATGGCGATGATCGCGTCGTACGGTCTAGTCACGCCTGCGGTGGCGGACTGCGATTTGAGGTCGGCCGTGGACGAGGACAGCAGGTCCGTGGCGCTGATGCCATCGCCGGCGGACGAGGCCTTGGCGGCTTGGATTTGCGAGGCCGAGTAGATCCTGATCCAGTAAAAGACAATGTCAGAGACATGAAGCAGGAGATGGATGCGCGCTATATTGAGTGGAAGAATGCTCAAAGAAGGGCTCACCGCTGAACGGCAAAGGGCAGTTCGTAGCTGCCGGGAACGGTGTGAACCGTGATGTTGTCCTCTGTCACGCCCGATGCGAGGAGAGTCTTCTTAGCGCCCTCCAGAAGGGGACCAATGATGCCCATGTTCCATCTCGCATGGACAATGGCAATGCGCAGTCCAGTGCCTGCAAGAGCGGGGTGGTAAGCAAGTGACGGATGGTGCCAGTACAGGGATGCGAAAAGGCTCACCATCAAAGGTTTCGGCCGCTCCCGGTCCCTTTAGAGAAGCCATTATTCTGGAAATGTAGAAAGATGTAGATGATGCTGGAGGTAGATGATATGTTGAAGCTTGCAAGTACCGCATCCGACGAAGTGGCGGATGACTATTGTGGGGTAACAAGCTGCCGCCGACGGAGGTCCGCGTAACCTCCTTTAGGTCTAGTGCCGACTACAGGTCTATCTTCCCTACTGACCATCATACCGGGACTGTTTACAAAAACACCCACGATACTTGATATTCGTATGTCATGCCGATTGTGCATAAGCAAGAAGACTGTGAGACATTAAACACAATTACACTAAAACGCTGTAAAACATGGCCTGCACGATCGACCGCCGAATCCCAATGTACCCATAGTGCTAATTTACTCGACAGTCACAGACTTGGCAAGGTTGCGGGGGAAGTCCACGTTGAGACCTTCACCCACGGCAAGCCAGTAAGCGATCAACTGCAGGGGAATGACGTTGAGCAGACCCTGGAGGCAGTCGACAGTCTTGGGCACTTCGATCTTTTCCGTCTGCGCGGAGGAGAATTCGGGGTCATCGTTGTTGCAGATGACAATAGGACGGCCGCCACGAGCAATAACTGCAGACGCATTAGTCTCCCGCTTCTGGTAACGTAATGACTTTGGCTCGACTCACCTTGCTGGTAGGCGTTAAGGGACTTGGAGAAGATGTTATCTCTGGTCAGGATCATGATGATGGGCAGGTTCTCGTCCACAAGGGCGAGGACACCATGCTTCAGTTCACCAGACATGACAGCCTCGCAATGCAGGTAGGAAATCTCCTTGATCTTAAGGGCACCTGTAATCCATGTTAGACAACTCGTCTTCAAATGATCGAGTAGTGATGAACTTACCCTCCAACGCAGTAGGGAACTGGCCACCTCTGCCCAGCAGAAGCAGACTCTTCTGGTCCTTGAAGAACTTGGCGCACATTTGCTTAATGGGGTCGTTGAGCTTCAGGATCTCGCGGAACTGGTCGGAGATCTTGGAAAGACCCTCCATAATCTCTTCCCGTCTCTTCTGCTTCGAGGCCCGATCCTCGCTGAGGGACAGAGCGAACATGACCATGGCGACGAATTGAGAGGTGTAGGCCTTGGTGGAGGCAACACCGATTTCGGGACCGGCGTTGATGTGCACACCACAGTGGGTCATCATAGAGATAGAGGAGCCGACAACGTTGACAATACCAACGGTCAAGGCTCCCCGCTCCAGACAGTAGCGCAGGGCCATCAGAGAATCGGCGGTTTCACCAGACTGGGAGACGAAGACACAGGTATCATCACGGAACACCGGAGCTTGTCTGTCCAGGAAATCCGAGGCCAACTCCACGGAAATGGGGATCTCGGTGAGCTCTTCAAACACTCCACGGACTGCCATACACGAGTGATAACTAGTACCGCAGGCAACGAAAATGATTCTTCTGCAGCGGCGGATGGTCGAGATGTACTGGCGAAGACCACCAAGCGTAACCTGCTTGTTGGCGACATCCAAACGACCTCTCATCGTGTTCACAACGGACTCGGGCTGCTCGAAGATCTCCTTCTGCATGAAGTGATCGAACTTGCCCTTCATGATCTCCTGCAGTTCCAGCTCAATGGTCTGGATGGCACGGACGTTGGAGGTACCATCGTCCTTGGTCAAGCGGTGGATGTTCAGCTGGCCCTCGTGCACGTGGGCAATGTCATCATCTTCCAGGTAGAGGACCTTCTTGGTGTGCTCCACGATGGCGGACGGGTCGGACGACAAGAAGAACTCGGCCGGCTGGGGAACACCATCATCGGAGAGGAAGGCCCGCGACTGCGAGCGGTGAAGGAGGGACTTGTCCGGAGGCGCCAGCAATCCAGCGGCGGACTTCTTGATCGCCACATTCTGAGAGGCCTGCTCAGCGGGAAGAGCACCATCCTCAGAGTACTCCACGTCGACGAAGTCCACCTTCATCTTCTTGGAGGTCCTCACACCAATGACGAGGGGAGAACCCTTCCGGGCGGCAATCACCTCATGAGGGTAGTGGACGGACTTGATCAGGAGACCGAAGGCACCCTCGAGCTCCTTCACAACGGCCTTGGCCAGGACAGTGAAATCAATATCGGGCTGCTGGTCGTACAGGTATTTCGTGAGCTTGGCAATGCACTCCGTGTCGGTCTCGGTCTCGAAGCGGAAACCCTTGCTCTCCAACAAAGCCTTCAGCTCCTTGTAGTTGGTGATGATACCATTGTGGACCACGGAGAATTCCCAGTTGGGGTCAGATCTGTATGGACACTGGGTCAGTAAAAGCCCCGCGGGGGCAGATTACGGGATGATACATACCTGTGAGGGTGGCAGTTCTGGCGAGAGGGAGTTCCGTGGGTAGCCCAACGGGTGTGGGAGATACCGGCATGAGACTCGAAAGTCTTGGTCAAGTCGGGCTTGGATTCCTCGATGAGCTCCTTCAGCTTGGCGACCTTTCCGACTTCCTTGAAGGCGCAGACTTCGTTCTTCTTGTCACCATCCACGGCAAGACCCGCAGAGTCATAGCCACGGTACTCGAGTCTCGAGAGACCTGTGGCATGCCCAGTCAGTACAAGAGAGGGGAGGATGGTGTAGCAGCGAGGCTACAAGAGCAATTCGGTTGGTGACCAAGGATAAAACTGACCGTTAAGCAGGGTATCAAGGATGAACTTGCGGTCCCTCTCAACGAGGTAGTTGATGTAACCGAAAATGCCACTTTCCGACAAGTCAGCCCCACCATCTTCAGCCGACAGATTTTATCCACACATACCACATTGTTGATTAATTGAGGGGGGGGAGGTATCAGGAGGAATGAGGAAGCAGATGGAGATTTGAGGAAATCTTCAGAAACGACTGGTAGAAGAGATCCGCTGTTTCGTGGTGACCAGAATTGAGAAATATCAACAAACAAGCGGTGGGGCACAACCGTGTATGTTCTAATGCCTGAAAAACGGTGAGGGTATATCGCAGGGAATTGTAGACGAAGAAGAGGGTGATAGGCGAGAAAGCGAGAGAAGAGGAGGAAGGGGAAGAAGAGAGACACAGAGAGAGAGGGAAGAGAGGTGAATTGGTTGGATCGACAATAATCAATTGGAAGGAGGAGGGGGGGAGGAACAGCTTTATGTTTTATGTTAGAGATCGAGACCCACCAAACGAGAGCAACCAGGGAAGCTGCTAGGCCAGGAAGGAAATGGCGTCTTCCAAGCAAAGTGGACCAATAATCGGTATGGTCTGCGCCTCCCACCGGTTGCTGAGGCATGTCTCACCCATGACTCGGCTCGTCCGTGGCGTGGCTAAGGGGGGAGGGAAGGAGGAGGGGTGACTTGGTACGGAGGCGGTATTCTCATCATCCCCACCGCCGGTCAAAAATAGCCTCCACTAACGGATTATTTTTGGCCACTGGCCAGCATAGTTAGTTAGTTAGTCTTGCCTCTTCGTTGCTATGGAAGATTCTATTTTCTAGTTCCCTTCTATTTTCCTATAGTTCAGCATAGAAGCTGGCGGCGTGGGAGATCACTACCGAATGACCTATCGCCCGGTCTGCCAATTTCTAATAATAACCCCCGGTCCATGGCCATGGTGGATCTGGTTTTTTTTGCTCTCCTTGATATCCCGTATTCTGTGCTCTTCTGGGGCAAAAAAAAAAAAAAATTTACCAATCCACAGAGTATTCCGTACAGAATACTCCATACCAAAACGCAAACAATGTTCGCCCATTTGGTAACAGTTGCAAAGTGCAAAGTGGCTTGACTATTTCCTGCGTTTGAAAGAGAAGCAGGCCGTACCTTGGAACCGTCGTCATAGTTTCATGTTTACAAGCAAAGACTGAAACACCACATTCTCCAAAGTTACCCCTTTTTAGAAGAGTGATGATATGGACCTATGGAACTGAGGAGTATCGTAAGCCAAAATCCTGTTCCTGTCAGGGTCAAAATTTCTTCTGTAGGTATCTCTTCAGCACCTGTCAACAAGGCATTCCGTCCACATTCTCCAGAGTATGTATAGATTCCGTCATGCAGACAGTCCCTCCCACTCATCTGCGTTTACTTACATTCTGAAGGCGCAAGCTCCTAAAATAGCTTTGGTATGTGGCAATTAGCCACCTAGGGAACTAGGGTGCTCCGGGGTACATACATGCATACATGTTTACACATCCAAACAAGTAGCGACAGATAGGAAGACCGTCCCTGCAGGTCCAGGTACCTACCTAGGAATGGCAAGACAAAGAAACGATGTGTGGTGACGATGACCCAAGGTTCGGGAGATTTTGGTGAAGTTACTATTTTTGTCCGCGGCTGTGGAGTGCCTCACATCGCATCGGAGCCGCCGGTCACCGGTACCTAGCCTATGCGGGTGTCTCACTTCTTACCCGAACGAAGATCCTTCTAGCTTGAAGTTGATTCTACCATAAGAAGAACAGATATCGTTCGACCGAGATGGGCCAACTGACCAGTAGTGGAGTATCTAGGTACCTGTAGGTAGGTAGGATATCGGCAAATCATACGGACTGGTTGGAGCCGCATTTCAAGATGATCACACCCATGCAAAGATGATGGCATGGGCCACCGATCCTTTCACAGCTGGTTCAATTTGATAAGCCGGTATCACGGTGGGAATCTATGGTATGTAATAATTATCGGTTTAGCACAGGTCTTCCTTGGATGAGATATACAATGTGTCCCGCTGAATTCCCTGAGGACAATCATGCCGCAAGAGTATAGGTCCTCAATATGTTGACATGATATATTGTATGCGGAATACTCTGACGCCCATGGTTGCAGACGAAGGGGAAGACTGGTGAATCCGGATCGGTCTAGTTATATGGAGGGAGGAGCCAGCTCAAAGCCAACACTTCGCGTCAACTGGTGCATCCTAACTCAGAGACGGACCTTGGCAGATCCACCATCCATCTCTACGGGATATACAAACGAAACATTATCCAGGCCATATCTCTCCAACTCTTTCAATCGTTATTCCAGCGGCCGTCCGAAAGCCCCCTAGGCATATACCTCCTGTATCTAGGATCCTGTACCAGCTGTTCGTGCATATGCAGCGGCACTCAAATCCTAGGCAGCTGGCCATTCGGGGGTTCCTCATGAGATCAGAGATACCGTAGTGTCTCCTCATGTCACTACGGGAGAGTCAAATGGGTTCTCATACAGAGTGTTTGTTGGCAGGAGGGAGACTGCACTCTATATGAGAACTCATCTGACCCTCGTGTCCTCGCCATTGTCTCCACAGTTCAGGAATAAGAACACAGAACATTGCGTTCTTTCAGAAGCCACATTCATTTCTTGTATAGAGACCACCATCGGAGTCGCGTGTCAAACCGGAGGCCGTGCAACCGATCTGTCCTGAACAATCATCACCAACCCGCAGTTTGTATGTATAACGTCCTATTTCTTTTCGTTCTCAGATAGCGAAGGGGAGACTCTCAAAATTTGTGGTGTATCTAGCGGCTTTCATTGGGAGTACGAGGAGATGCAAACTGGTTCGTAGGGATGCCTTTTCTTTTTCCTTTTCCTCCTGCGGGAGAACTGACGTCAGCAAGTAGGCTCGTGAAGAACAGCAGTGAAATATCTGCGACAAGAGACGGCGGCTCGAGAGATTGGCAAAATAACCCCACATCAGTAGATAGAAACATTTTTTGAAAAGAGTCAAGCCCATGGAGAGTTTTGTGTCCTTCTCTGGACGGTGCGCTGCAGGCAGATCGCGTTACTGCGACGGGACCCATCCATCCCTGCGGCGTGGAGTTTCTGGAACTAAGGAACAGCAGCCGGCCTGGCAACTCTTTTTCGCCCTCCCTCTCATCTTCGTCCTTGCGAGCCTTTGAATGCCAACACAACAAAGCAAGACTTTTGCACTCAATTTGACAGCTGATCTAAATTTTCCAATCGTCTGGTCGGCTACCTGGAGATTTTCTACGATCCCTTCCTGCTGTCCCCTCCCCCACTCCACCCCTGCGAGAAACTGCTTCGCGTGTTAATGGTCCTTCATCGCGTTCGCAAGGCGACGTCAAGACATTATACCCCGGCTTTCCTGGAGAACCACCGTGTTCCCTATCGTCGGAAATTTTGAGACTGCACCTGGAGTGATTTACTCACTGCCCTAGCTCTCGTGTCTCTGCGTGTCCGCTCTAGACTTCCCAACCTCGTCGTCTTTTTCGTCCAGTCCGCATCCTGGAGATCTGGGACCGCCCGGTACACTCCGCGTCAGGCAAGCCGGTCCTGGCCACATATTCGCGCATGATCCGATAAGAGTGGTCAAGGATGCTGCCTTCGAATTGCAGGTGTTCTGATTCCGGCGCGTAGCCATTCTCACCATGTCGCGGTCATCGGCAGGCTTTGCGGACTTTTTCCCTACTGCGCCATCCGTTCTCCAACAGAAGCGCTTCAAGTCCAGCCGGGATCGACCGCAGCCCAAGCCCCCCGCTGGCGCTGAAAATGGCCTTGAACGACCAGAATCGTCAGAATCGAGTAGTATCCATGATCTCGCCAATGGTACTACGTCGTCTGATCGGACAGCAAAGGCCCTGCCCGATCACAAGCCAACGTCATCTGAAGGCACCGGAGACGCTTCGGCCGGCTCCATAGGTACCGGTACCTCAGCTCCTACCTCATCCGCTCCTGATCTTCGAGCGACCACTAATTATGAAGCGCACCTCGAAACTCTCACACCGCTCACCAACGCAGAGTCCTCGCCGTCTCGCAAACCTGGATCACCGCAGACCAAGCTAGCAAATGGGATTACCCTAGAAAACCCCCCGGGCTCCGGCATTGATGCCCCGCGATCGGACATCACGCCCGTTCACACTCCTCCAACCCCCCAGTCGCAGAGCCGTCGTTCCGGCGACATCAAAGGCTCCAAGCTCGTCTACGATCCCGATGTCGAAAAGCGATCTTCCCTGAAGGAGAAGCGGCGGAAACCACGCTACGTGGACATTGTGCTAAATGAGCAAGACGCTTGTCCGGCCGACCCTCGCTTGGTCATATCGAATTACACGCGAGGGGCGGGCTGTAAGCAAAAAACGAAATATCGCCCGGCTCCGTATACGCTGAGACCGTGGCCATACGATGCTGCAACGACTATAGGACCCGGACCCCCCGTACAAATAGTCGTTACGGGTTTCGACCCTCTGACCCCGATTGCACCAATCAGCGCACTGTTCTCAAGCTTCGGTGAAATCGCCGAGATCAACAATCGCACCGACCCGATTACTGGCCGATTCCTCGGGATCTGCTCCATCAAATACAAGGACAGTGTATCGTTTCGAGGAGGCGGTCCGGTTTCCGGCCCGAACGCTGCGAGGCGGGCGTTCTATGAGTGCAAGAAGGAACAGCGCATCGGGACCCGGAGGATCAGGGTCGAGTTGGATCGAGAAGGGATCGTGTCGGAAAAGCTTGTATCACGAGCGGTTGATGCGCAGAGGGTTGGACATCAGCAGAACAAGGTATCCTCTACGGAAGAGACACGACCTGAGCCTGCACTGAAACGAAATGAACCTCCCCCTACCGCGCCAAAAGGGCCGTCTGGGAAATCCTCCATTCGTCCACCCATTGCTATACCGGAAGGCCCCCGAGCGACGTTTTTAAAACCGGCCATGCCGTCGTTGGTGGAAGAAACACCCATACTGAACCAAATCAAGCGAGACCCCTACATTTTCATTGCACACTGTTACGTCCCAGTCCTCAGCACGACCGTGCCACACTTGAAAAAGCGACTCAAATTATTCAACTGGAAAGATATCCGTTGCGACAAGACCGGCTACTACATTATATTTGAGAACTCGCGGCGTGGAGAGGAAGAAACCGAACGCTGCTACAAGATGTGCCATATGAAGCCGTTATTCACGTACATCATGAATATGGAGAGTCAGCCTTATGGGAATCCCGCGTATGAGCGCAGTCCCAGCCCGGCGCGATTCCAAGCAGAGCAGCGGAAGCGAGCGGAGATGGACAGGCTCAAAAGAGAGGCCGAGCTGGACATTGAGGAAGAGAAGAAGCAGCGTGCTCTTGACCTCGATCCGTGCAAGGAAGTCTTGACGATAATCATTCGGGATCTGAAAGACAAACTTCTTGAAGACGTCAAGTCGCGCATAGGTGTACCCGCCTTATACGACTATCTCGACCCAGGGCGACATGCGGATAGAAGGAAAAGGCTGGGCATCCCGGATCCTGAGGGAATGAGACGGCCCATGTTTCGGATCGAAGCCGATAACTCCGTCGGCGCATCTGGGACGCGGCCTGACTCTTCCAGGCTCAGGCAACCGCTGAACGCATCTAATCTTAATGTTTTGTCTCTTCCGCGGATAAGAAAGTCCAACCGCCTTGATCGTACGGACATTGCTTTCTTGGACGAGAGGCGTAAGCAGCCATTGCGAAGAAAGGAAGTCCGGCCTCTCTACCACCGTCTACAACAGTTACACGATGTCGACGATTCCGATGATGACCAGAGGACTCCGTTTTCAAAGGACAATGATGAATCAGACAGCCGCCCGCTGAGTCGCATGAGCTCCCGGTCGTCAGTCTCGGAGGATGGAGATGAGTTTGAACCTAAATCGGTGGACAGGGCTACGCCGGAGCTTGCGGACCAAGTAGGAGACTCGAAGGCAGACAATACTGGGGTTGAGTTCGCGCAGAAAGATATACACGGTGATTTGGACGAGCACCCCACAGACTCGCTCAAAAGGAAACGAGACAAGAAAGAGCTTAAGGCGCGGAAAAGGCAAAGAGAGAACGATACCCTTCTCGATGTGGATTCCGTGACAGAGATTCAATCCGTGGACGCACATGTTCTTCCGACGCCTGACGAAGATGGCTCTACAGTTGATAAAGACCACACTGATGGTCCACAAAAGCGTCTGGATCAGGAAGATTTGAGCCCGTCAAGCCTCGAGGAAGCTGACATTGAGCCTCTTTTACCCGGAAAGGAAAGCCGCGCCTCATCGCATCCGATTGAAGCCGATGGTGTTTCGGTATATGATGAGACATCGACGGAGGAGGTGAGGTGGAAGGTGTCGTACGGCGAACCTCGGCGGATTGTGGAAGATGACCAGGCAGTCATCCTTGACTTGGATGGGTGGCAGAACCTGGTTAAAGACGAGGAGGACTTGTGCTTCCTTCAAGAAATCCTTGCCGAACAGGCGACCGTCGACCTGGGCAATCTGTCCGCATGGGCCTGGAGACAGAAAGAGATCAAAGCTCTCAATCGCCCAGGAGACACTGGTCCAGTACACGAGGAGGCCAAGATCCATGGGTACTATGTGCGGAACCCAACAGGAGCTGCCCGGACTGAGGGAAGGAAGAGGATCCTTGAGTCAGAAAAGTCGAAATATCTGCCGCATCGCATCAAGGTCCAGAAGGCGCGTGAAGAGCGTGAGGCCCGGGCGAAGACTGACCCCCAGAGCGTTGCTGCGGAGGCTGCTAGAGTCGCTGCTGCTAAGAACATTTCTAAATCGACCTCCAGATCGACGAGAGTCAATAATCGCCGACTCATCGCCGACATCAACGCGCAGAAACAAGCACTCCCGACGCAGAGCGGCGATAGTGACGTTCTTCGGTTCAATCAATTGAAGAAACGGAAGAAACCCGTGCGCTTTGCTCGATCCGCGATTCACAACTGGGGCCTCTATGCCGAGGAGAACATCTCGGCAAACGATATGATCATCGAATACGTGGGAGAGAAGGTCCGACAGCAAGTTGCAGACATGAGGGAACGGCAATACTTGAAGAGTGGCATCGGCAGCAGTTATCTCTTCCGCATTGACGAGAATACCGTCATCGATGCCACTAAACGGGGAGGCATCGCTCGGTTTATCAACCACAGTTGTACGCCCAATTGCACTGCCAAGATTATCAAGGTCGATGGCAGCAAGCGGATTGTCATATATGCTCTGAGGGATATCGAACGAGGTATGTGGATCTTCAAGCTAAATGCGTGCGCACCCAGTGGAACAGCAGGCTGATTACCGTTCTCTTACAGATGAAGAGCTGACCTACGACTACAAATTTGAACGGGAATGGGACAGCGACGACAGAATCCCGTGCCTTTGCGGCTCAACTGGATGCAAGGGCTTCCTTAACTAGTGTACACTTTTATTCCCCCGAAGGATCTGTGCTTCTCCGGGTCCTTTACCCATTGATGACCTTCTCTCCAACGCCGGTTTATCCCCTAAGGTGCTTTGACGGCTGCAGCATGTTTTTTGTGGCGTTTTGATGGGCATTTGGCCAGGAGTTCTCGTGGAGACCGCGCACACCACCCGTGTGCCGGTGTTGTGCCTTGTATTTCTTTTTTGAATAAAGAGAAACAGCCATGTACCATATATCCTCAACAGACATCCAAATAGAATATTGTCCTCGAAGAATGGTCGCTTGCGATATAGACATAACACCATTCGATAAACGAAAAGTAACGGACGATCGGCGGTAATTATATGGAAGTGAGGAGGTCTAAGCAGTCAACGCCGATTGAAATTCGAATCGTGGTATCATTCCGGATAATTCCGTTTCGAAATAGAATTAAACTGGCCCACATCAGCAAGAAGCAGGGTAAGAAGCGACGAGAAGCGACTCACCTAAGTGGCTGGGTAGCAGGAAATTGGCGATTCCTTCTTTGATGAGGTATTCATGCCCGCAGTTACCGCAGCAGAGTTTGCCCTCCATAACCTGCGCTTCCAACAGCAGCCTGTGAAGCTCCTTCAGAAGCTGTTCATCCTGGAGCGCGTCGCCCTCGGGTTTCGTCTGCGGAATCGAAGGAAAGCCGAGCTGTCGCAGGGGTTAGTCGATCGAATAAAACTTTCGCGCGCGCGAAAGGAGGGTCCGCCCACCTCGCTGGCCATCACTTGCAGAGCGTCCCAGTCAATTCGGGGAAGAATATTGCGTATGAAGTCGGGCTGGAAATCGCACTCTTGCAGCTCGAGTTCGGCATCGCGGAAGTGAAGCGGGAACGATGCGGGCGACGTCTTGCAGCCCTTAACCGCGCACGTTAAGAAATTGGCTGTGATGAGCTTCATGTTGTATTCGGAGTGAGCTGGGAAGTATAGATACGGTAGCACTTGAGGGGAATGGTGGGGAGGCGTAGGATGTCAAAGATAGTCTTGGAGATGGTTGTTAAGAAAATTTGCCAGAGCCGTGCGGGGAGTGACGGGACCCAGAAATCAACCCGAAGTATATGTCGTCCGTAAGGCATACTTCACCAGTCTCCATCACCGGGGTAAAAAAGATGGTGTCAGAAGTAGGCTAGATTTGCTGGGCATAAGCGTACTACAGATAATAAAATAAGAGCCATTCGGAGAGATGGGAGCGACGTTGCGGCATATGTACTATGTATTATCTGAGGGCTTTAGAGATGGACCAACCATTATACTATCTCCAGCCCACGCAAGCGTATTCAACGTCATGTACAAACCAGTGATGGTAACTTCACCTGATAATAACATCCAAAAGATCATCGTCTGCGATGTCGTAGTCCTCGAGGCGATTCTCCGGCTCCAGACGATCACCGTCGAATGTCAGGTACACATTCTGACCTTCGAAGATATTCCTTGCTTTGCGAAATATAGATATTACCTCAGAAACCTTCATATTAGGGGAAGTATTTATCCCGAGATCTGCATATCCAGGGCACTTCAAAACAATGCTCTGTGACCCCAGCTGTCCAGTATCTTCGAGCTGCGAGGATTCTTGTGCGGAATCGGAATCATCCACAGACTGTTGTCGCTCCATGGGTAGTAGAGAAGGATCATCAGTGGCGGCCTCCATATGGATGCGCATGTTCCCTTCGTCATATTGTAGATAGTCGTCTGCCGTTAAGCTACCCGCTCCGATGCCCAAACTCTTGCAGGTGGTCACGTCGAACAAGCGCTTCCCCTTCCATGTCAGATACACCGCGGATTGACATTCCTTGGGTAGGTTTTGACGACTACACCAGACCAGGCGAACCTCTTTCAATGACTGGGTCATTTTTCGCTGAACAATAAGTGGCTTCGTATCTTTGATTTTTGAAGTAATGAGAATCTCGATGACCATGTCGTCAAGTGTATTATTCGAGGGTGTGCTATCCTGAGAAGCAATCTCACTCTTGCTCGCGCTTTCCTGGCGGGACAGCGGTACAGGTTTGTCAATTGCTGTTGAATCGGGCCCACCATGGGTCCCATCAGCGCTGCCGTTTGAGAAACCCTTTTTCGCGTTCGTGGTATCCGAAACAATGACATCGCTAAAATTATCGGGTGATGGAGATGCTCCTGGGGTCGCTGAACCGGCTACATTGTCCGCGCTCGAGACTCTGTGAGTTTCTACCTCCGGAGACTGCTGATGTTGATCGATCTTCATCCAACGACGCTCAGGAGTTTTTGACGCTGGGCCATCTCCCTCCAGGGACGAATCGTCTTCGTGCGACGGCCGTCTGCGCTTACGTCTCTCGCGACCGTCTGTAGGGGCATCATTCGGGGACTTTGTCGACCGCTCTCGGGATTCTTTTCTCGCAGCAATGATGTCGGCATATGTCTGGTCGGCGCGACGATAGAAATCTGCGGGGAGGTCCTCTTCCCCACGGGTTGCCCATGAAGGCCTCTTGAAAAAAGAGCGCATAGCTTGGACAGGCTGAGTTTCAGGATCACGGACCTGGTACTGATAGCTTCGTCATGGTAGGCAAGGCAAACGAAACCGGAGCCCCTGGGGAAGGCGGATAAAAGATATCGTATTAAAGGCGATAATTGAGGAATTGCTGCATTGAAATGCTGCTTCCTCTCGTTTGGAGCGCCTATGAATGGCGAGATCAGTCGCAACGATCAGCAATAGTGATTACGGAGTAGGGCGGTGGGGGTCTGACACGTGCCTCCCCGCCTTCGAGATCGGCCGCTTTCAGAGACCCCAGCTCTACTTCTTACCTACCTATTCCAACGTTCCTCGAACGCACCAGACTAAGGCCCTGTGCGAATCCAGAACAATGGAGAACGGAGCATCATCTGAAGGCAAAGACCCTTCTGCCTTCTTGGGTGAAATCATCGGTGCCCCGGTCACGGTAAAACTGAACTCCGGTGTTGTCTACAAAGGTTCGTGAAGCGCTACAACAATGATTTTATCAGATTCTGATGATCTTTATGTCCAGGCGAACTTCAATCGGTGGATGGTTATATGAATATCGCGCTCGAGAAGTCGGAGGAGTATGTGAATGGCAAGCTACGACGCAGCTACGGCGACGCTTTCGTGCGCGGGAACAACGGTACGTGTTTTCCTTCTGGCGGATATACATTGCTAATTCAATTTGCCTTATTCTCAGTCCTTTATATCTCTGCGCGGTGATGAGTCCTCTCACGAAGCGACTTTTCCGGCTGTGGCCCGCGATTCCGAACTATCCTGCCCGGGTTCCCTCCCTACCATGTCCACCAGGACGAATTGGTCTGCATCCGCCGTAGATTTGGTCTTCCCCCCTCTCTTACTCAACCCGCTTGAAACTTGCTGGAATCTCTTCATTTTATTCTTTGCGGCGGTCACGGGAGTACCTCGGTCCTATTCTTGCCATTATCTGAATATCCCATCTGTCTTTGGCCAGCGTGCTGGTATCCTCTCTCCACAATGGTGGAAGTCCGACGCGTTGCTGGCTATTTAGCGATGTTGAAGCTAAATATGATGAAATAAATAATCGACTATAAGTTACGAGACGTTTTGTATGGCTGGTCCTGGTCAGGTACGAAAAGCCTTTATTCGACCAAGAATCCAGGGAGGTAGATAATACAGCGTCTGAGAGACTCTTAATATCTGAAATAAACCCACCCATTGGGGTTGGCATTGGCCCTCAGAACGGCTGGGCATCGATGGCAAAAAAAAAATATTAGATAAAATTCCAGGATGAACCCCACTTTGCCGCTACTCCGTACACATCTCGGCCCCTCTACAATAATAAAGATTCCCGTCCATCAAGGCTCGCACCCCTTCTCAGTAAGTCTTGACGCTTGCAGAGCACAGATTTACCGGCGATTAACTAAGCCTGTTGCTCCCTAGACATCTTGCGCCAGCCGCCGCTGTTCTCGCCACTCATTCGACCCAGGATGACCCTCCAAGCTATCAAATACAACAACGGTGACCTTGCGATCATCGATCAATTACAACTGCCACACGTGGAAAAATATGTCACAATACACAACAGTGAAGAAGGCTGGCATGCGATCAAGGATATGCGAGTGCGAGGAGCACCGGCCATTGCTATTGTGGCAGCCCTCGCCCTCGCCTCTGAGTTGCACGGCCTGATGGCGCATGACAAACTGTCCCCTGAGGCCGAAGACGTCCAGACTTTCGTGGTAGAAAAACTGCGGTACCTCGTGAGCAGCCGGCCTACAGCCGTCAACCTCAGTGATGCGGCGCGTAAGCTTGAGGTAGTGGTTGCACAGAGCGCTCGCGCCCCTGGCGCGACGGGCAAGACGGTGGCTACGGCCTTCATCCAGGCAGCGGAAGAGATGCTAGTTAAGGATGTGGAAGACAATAAGAAAATTGGCGAGCATGGTGCCCAGTGGATCTTGAAGAATTCTCTCGAGGGACACGGAAAAGCTACAGTGCTGACTCACTGTAACACGGGGTGAGTACCGCCGAGGATCTTTATGGCTTCGAGTCTGAGCATTAACCCATGAACAGGTCCCTTGCGACTTCGGGCTACGGAACTGCTCTAGGCGTGATCCGCTCCCTCGCGTCGGCCGATTCGCTACAGCACGCATATTGTACAGAGACAAGACCATACAACCAGGGCTCCCGGCTGACGGCATTCGAACTCGTTCATGACGCGCTCCCCGCGACCCTCATCACCGATTCTATGGCGGCTGCCCTGCTCGCCAGTAAGAAGGCTGGTGTGAATGCGATAGTTGTAGGAGCGGACAGGGTCGCCGCAAATGGCGACACGGCGAACAAGATCGGTACCTATGGCCTTGCGGTTCTCGCAAAGTACCATAATGTGAAGTTCTTGGTCGCTGCACCACTCACGACAATTGACCTGAACACCAAGTCTGGAGATCAGATTGTTATTGAAGAGCGTTTGGCGTCGGAGGTGACGAGTATTAGAGGACCGCGGGATAATACAGGTAGCGAGGATGTGGAACTGGTCACCGTCTGCACCGCGGCCAAGGGGATCAACGTCTGGAATCCCGCATTTGATGTTACGCCTGCGGCCCTCATTGATGGGATCATAACAGAGAAAGGTGTGATGGAGAAGGATTCTGCGGGTATGTTTCATTTAGAAGAGCTGTTTTGATTTGGCTGTGTCATAGAGTCCCCTTGGGTGTTCTGGTCCTCGTTACTTTGATAAGTGGTTTCTTGGGCGTTGTTCCCTTCAAAAAATTCCAAGAGCTCCTCAATCTTCCCTTCCAGCTCGCTCAACTGGTTTTCCAAGGCTAAGGCTGTTCTCTCGCCACTAAGGGTTGCTCGTCAATAAAACATTCAAGCTAATCCTACTGACCGAACGGGTATATACTTAGCAAGGTCGCTAAATGCCTATTGAGGGTTAGTAGTGGCTCTGTGGAGACAAGCAAATGACTCGGTAGCATGACATTTCTAGCATTGTAGGTAATGAGTTCAGGACAATGAGGTCAGTCACTTACTTGTGCAAAATCATTATGCGATGGACTACCAGGGTTATCAGAATGAGGCATGTTGACCCCTGTGGAACGTTATTAGAACGCTTACTGTCTGTGCAGTGCGATGGTAGTGTGGTTGTCTCACCTGCTTTCGCAGAGCAATAGTTTATTGTCTCTCCTCCGATCTAGTATATGTGCAGGCTTCAAATGCGCTGTGTGGTCCACATGATAAGAGCAATATGACTTGGGTGGAGAAGAATACTGTGTAGTACATGGACTGTTCAGTGTGGTTCTCGGGACTCGGTAGAGGCCAAACTATTCCCCGCACGAATTTGGGGAAATAGTGGATCATGAGGTTCCTCTCTCGGAAGCCTTCGCTGAACTCACGGCGGCTCCATTTTATATGCCCCCCTTGTCTGGCAATTGCCTAGGTAGTTGTGTGCCAATAGATACTTTTTTGCGTTTACCAGTTTCTATCCGCTAACAGTCAACCTACCGCCACAATTTGGCGTCAGAATATCCAGTATCGGTATACTATATAGTATGAATTTGATCAATAAATTGTTCTTGAATTGTCTAAGCTAGATAAATTGGAGGGGTTCCCGGTCGCCAGGCTGCCCTGGCCTCTATCGGAACTTTTAATCCGCTCCAACACTCTTTTATCTATGTTTCGCTCGGGTTAAGATAAAATACTAAAAGTTTAACTACACGAGTTCAGCTAAACTCTCCTGCTCTATCTAGAAAGACTAGAGATATAATTAGACTCAGTTAATACAGCTAAACTCCCCTAGTTATAAGCAACCGCCTATATAAGAAACCTCACGATATTAGCAATAAAAGTTCGTGATTTTATTAAATTCCTACATAAATAAGCAACAAACCTAGATACAAGTTATTACTTAGAAAAAACCTCTTTCCTATTATAAAACTCTGGGAGTTCCTGCCTTAAGTATTCCCTCTAGAAGTTTCCTAATCAAGAAGTCCTATTAATCTAACAGTAGGAACTAATAAGAGTTAAGAAAATTAATAATTAAACTAAATAACTAATTAAATCTAGTAAATAACTCTAGTCAATTTTAGCCTAAAACTATAAGTTGGTAGGCTTTATTTATAGTATAGTTTTTAGAGCCTAAAGTCTTGTAAAATTAAATAATCAATAGTTATAATTAAAATTAACATAGAAATACCAGAAGATAATGTAGAAGACTCGTGGCCTCGGAATCGGAGGCTTCAGGAATCAGGATTGGTGTTTCCGAACAAGAGACTGGGCAGGCTGCCTTTAGTTCCTTAGTCGGTGGCTTCGCTGCTCTAGCAGAATCTTCCTTTTCTTTTGAAGCAGGTAGCCCTTCTAATAAAGCGCTTCTTAAGTATATAGTTTATAAATCCGATGGAATAGATATGCTTAAAATTAGGGAGATTCTCTAATTAAAGTATGCGGACTAATTCAGCTTTAAACTTTAAAATATAATTATCAAAGAAGGTTGTCTATTAGTTCTATATTTTTTCTTTTTTTTATCTCCATCTATAACTAGATATTTACTAGTATTCTAGTATAGAAGTAGTCTTTAGTAGAGAACTATACTAGATATATAGATTTATTTATATTTCTAAAGACAGTAATAATTCTAACAACAGTAAGATTAGTAGAGAAACTGTTATTTTTAGCTTTATTTTGAAAGGCAAGAAGCTATATATATTTTTAGAAAAAATTATTTATTAAAAGATAATTTTTCTTCAAGCTAGAATCTAAAATTAGTTATATATTTTTATTAAGATAGATTATTCTTTAGAGATATAGTTTAAATAGATATAGCCGTCTTTATTATAGTTATAAAGCTATTTTACAATTTATTTTTTAGTAAGATAGAATTTTATTATTATATATATCTAGTAATTATTTAATTTTATATTTTTAGAAGAAAATTTATTTTTTTAGATATAGTTCTAATAAATAGTTACTAAAAATTAATTATCGTAGTTTTTTAGTTAAAATTTATCTTTTTCTAAGATATTTACTAGTATTTTTTTATTTTTAGATAGATAACTAATCCTCTCTGTTCTCTCTAAAAACTTCTAAATTTTTTTAGTAGTTATTTTACTGCGCCGTAAAATTAATTAATTATTTATTTTTAATAGTAATAACAGCTAGAGTGGGCAATGGCCAGGTAAGGGGAGATTAAGGACCTTTATTATAACCTGACCGTAGGTTAATAGTAAGGCTAGATATCTTATTTTTACCTAACCGCGGTATAAAAAAAGATTAGATTAATTTGATTAAGTATTCTTAGCGCTAAAACCTTTATATTTTATCTATTTAAATATAGTTTAATTAAATTTTTAGTTAGATTAATTATAGTTAATCTCTTTATTTTAACTAATTTCTTAAAAATCTATAATAAAAATATTATTTAATTTTTAAAAAAAAATATTAAAGATAAATAACTATATATTTTACTTAAATTATCTTTATAATAATATTTAATTTTTTATAGAGTTATTATAATTTTTTTTAAAAAAAAATTAATATTATCTAGTAATATAGAATAGAAATATATATTAATATATATTTCTATTCTATATTACTAATATTAATAATAGATTTTAAAGATAATCTCGCTTATAAATACTATATTAGTTAATTATAGTAATACTATTCTTATTTATTGATTTATTATTAATAAAGATACTATATCTTCTATAGAATATTTTTTATTTCTAATATTTTTATAGTAATAAATACTAGTACTAATAATAGTAGCTAAATAATTATAAATTTTATTCTAATTACTACTAATCTCTCTTAAATTTATTATGTCTTAAGAATAATATAACGCATTCTATTTATTAATCTATTTAATATTATATTTTTTAAAAATTTCTCTTTTTTATTTTTCTATATTAATACTATTAATAAAGCTTTGCTATTATTATAGTATATTAATTCTATCTTTCTAATTTATATTTATAAAATATTATTATACTATTTTCTTTAATTTTTTAAATCTTTATCAGTAGTAATAATTAAATAAAAATTAATAATTATTCTATTTTCTTTTTATTTTTTAAATTTAATTTTTTATATTTCTTTAAAGACTATAAGATTATTTAATATTCTATTAAATAAGAAAAGATTTTTATTTTCAAATAGAGTGGGCATGGTTAACCGTTTTATTAACCGTTTTAGCTAAAACGGTTAAAAAATACCGCCTCAGGTATAAAGATTATAGCTTGAATATTAGGTATAATTAAATTTAAAATTGAAATTTATATATATATAAAATTATTACATAATATATATAGAAGTATATTATGTAATACATCTATAATACCGTATAATACTCAACGGTTAAAAAATACACTATAAAAAAGGGTCTAAAATTGATTAGTCATGTATTATTTACTAATATAGCGTAATAGTGGTATTTTATTACGTAATTAAATATTGTATAGCACGTGATATCTAATTTCTTTATTATAACACTATATTACATAATTTTAGTGGGTTAAATACATATTATAAAAGCTCGGTAATTAACCTGAACGGTTAAGAATGCCCACTCTATTTTCAAAAAAAATTAAATACTATTATTTAGATCTAAAAATAGAGAGAGGCTGTTGCTATTAGGGCAGGACCTAGTGTAGATAGTAGATAGTGTTGTGATGTTAGGTAAGGTCTGATATTAGATTGCGGAACTGGACGGTGGCGATCACTGTACTATTCTGGTTAGATCAACTGTT